ACTCTACACAAATCAGCAGCATTTGTATGCACGAAGTACCGAAGTGCGGTTCTGGAACGTCATTGTGGAATTGCGAATCTATTAATTGAGGGTTACAAGGAGATACCCAAGCGAGGTAGGCCTGCGGTTAAACCTTCATAAAAATTTACCAAAGTTAAATACCGGATTATGTCGTGAAAACGGTAGATCGTTTGGAGACTCTACCAATGCATGTTGCCATTGTTTTGGGGTCTCATTTCAAGGTTCCGTAATGGTAATTTGAGGATTTGATAATGATAATGTTATCTTTTATATGTATATTAGCCTGTGTATAATTCCTACTAACCTGGAAAACCTAAAAGATGGGGAATGTAAAGATCGGTCTAAAAATAAAATGGAAAGCGGTCTTAAATTATCCAAAAGTCGGGGATGAATAAATATTTTACGGTACAGAAATCTTTCTCGCATACAATGTAAATAAATAAAATCGTCTAATATTATATTCAGCAATCTGCCACCTGTTCATTGCGAATTTATAATGACTCTCAATTTGTAAGGTATTTACAAATGGCTTTGCAAATGTAAATAAAGCGGTTTTATCACGTGCGCGGCATACGAATTTTGTAACAATTATGTTGTAAATTCGCGTTGAATGTTGATATTTTATAATAGATCTGGGTATGGACGATTATCATAAAATTGCGGTAGTGGCGTAGAGTTTTTTCGTGTAACGGTGCGGAGAACTGTTTGGAATCACTCTTAATGTGTGGTTAAATAGAAACAGTTAATAGTAGAGTGATGATAGGGATTATGTAGATATATCTTCTATTCTAAGACGAAAGTAATTTTGTGAATGGACCACTGATATTAAAACTGGTCCTGTTATGTTTAGGCGTAACTCGGTGTAGGTGTTAAAAATTACAGACACTTACTGCATCCGTGGGAAAGTAAACTCATCATTCCGATTAATTAAATACGTGTAAACAAAACGAAGTGCCTATATGCTTACAAGAATGATCAGCGCATCGTAGTGAAATGCATCAAAAAATGTGCTTTTAGGAATCACATATTTGACAAATAGGAAACTTTAAAGCATGACCGTTAAAATCTGTGCAGTTAAGTTTAATTTGACATTTATGAGAGGTGGAAAATTTTCATTCATCCGAAAATCAAATTATTATGAATTATAATTGCAGCCAGTTGCCCAAACATTTTTTGATGCACGAAACCGACCACCAAGCACTTAAAAAAATTGAGAAATAAATTAATCGACTCGAAACTACCGTTCTAAAACAAAAATTATACATATTCCATATACAGGATGTTTTCTAATTGAAGGTCAATAATTAAGAATTCGATATTTGGGTCCGTCTTACCTTTAAGATACGGGAGGGTAAAGCTTTCAAAAATAAAATATATGTTTTAATATCTGTAAGACCACCTTAGATATTTGAATGAAATTTGGCACACATATGTTATGTATCAAGAGCCATTATTTAGTACACCACATTTTTTTAATGCACCAGTGGCGGGCGCACATAATTCCCCTCTCTATTTTAGCCGACATTGATTAACATAAAAATTACTCTTAACATCTGCAATCATTTCTAAAGTAATTTTAATTTTAAGAGAAATCAATGGCGTGCCACCAATATTAAACAAGTGAAATTCCGTACGTCTGCTACTGGTGTATTTTTAAAAAATCGCCTCTTTAATTATTGACATTATATACTTTTGAATCAAATTTTCAAGCATATACCGAAAAGTACTCTGAAATATTTACCTAAAAGGTGCACCCAACGACGTTGAACTTAATTTAATGATAGATTCATTTAGAAACATCGAATTTGAACTACTGTTATCAGTGTCGGTTATTAAATTGGACAGTTCATTGTCTATAAGAATGGTCTTTTGTTGTCGGTGATATATTTTAAACTACTAAATCGAAAGAAAGTAATTCGTTGCAAGATTGTATGGTCTGTTTATAGATATAAGAAAGTGACCAATCGCTTTTGAATGGGATTATCTAAGGGTGGTCATTAACATACAATGCAACAAGATTATTACCTATAGTTTAGGAATTGAAATTCAGGTATAATTGTGGTCCGTAATAGAAAATAATTTTATACCTACCTGTGTTTAATATTCTTTGGTTTGTTGAATGTTGTTGGTGTGTTGAATCGTGTGCGAATTATGCAAAATATGTGCGAGTCTAGTGTATCTCAGGAGATGCTCCCGCCCAAATGTAGAAAACACTATTCTATTGAGACTAAGGAAGCTATAAACAATGTTTACTTGATTTTCATTGAACGTGGTGCCAGCAAGCAAGCATATTTAGAAGAAACGGCCACATTGACGAAAATTCGTACATCAACTGTATGGAAAATTGTGAATAATCCCATTTTAGCGAGGAAAACAAGAAGCGATGCTGATATTTTCTCGAGTGTAGATGAAAGTGATCAAGATATAATACGGCGTAAAATTTACCAGTTATACGAGGAACAAAGTGTGCCTACATTAGATATCTTAATTAGGAGGCTTGAAAAAGTTGAAACCGGTGTTAAATTAGGCAGAACTACCTTATGGAAGTGTATTCAACACATGGTTTTAGATGTAAAAAATTGACAAAAGGCAAGTTTTAATGGAATCTTTTAGAATTCGGAAATGGCGACTGGAACATCTAGAAAAAATTAAGATTTACAGAGAACAACAAAGGCCAGTTATTTACTTGGATGAAACCTGGTTCGACACTTATGATACCCCGGAAAAGGGTTGGGTTGACTCAACTGATACGTGTAAAACAAACGCGCCATCACAAAGAGGTAAAAGAAGAACTATTTTGCATGCTGGCTCCAAAGATCGTTGGATTCCAAATGGACTTTCTCTGTCTGTGAAAAACATTCAGATTCTTTTCTGGATTACCATGAAGACACCCCCGCTGATTTATTTTAAAAACAAATTAGTTCCAAAGATTCCTCCTAATAGCGCAATTGTAGTGGACAATTCAAGTTATCACAGTAGACAGTTGATTAAAACCCCTAATAATAATGACATTTATTTTCACGAAGATTATAATAAAAAGCAATTAAATGAGGTTCTACAAAGCTTGAACCTACAAAAGGAATACGTCTGTGATAATTATGCAAAAAATCTGGGGCATACAGTTTTAAGGCTTCCACCTTACCACTGTATATTTAATCCCATTGAACATGTTTGGCACCAACTGAAATCTGCCATTCGTCGTAACAATATTTTTCCCCGTGTTAACTCCAATGTCCTCAAACTTATAGAAACCGAAGTTTTTAACATCCCTCCACAAAGTTGGGCAAATTCTGTTAAACATATAGAAAAGGCAGAACAATCGTATATCCATATTGCAAATAATATAGAACAAATAATAATTAGAACAGGCGATGATAGCGATAATGATATATTATGTGAATAATTTTAAGTAATTTAAGTGGGTAATAAAAATAATTTGTAATTTTATTTTAGATTTAAACATGAATAAATATTGTTTAGTATATTTCCTAACAAAACCCCAAATAATTAAATTCTAAGCAAAGTACGGACCTGTTCGGCCATATTTCATTCTTACAGCTTGCCCGCGTCTGTCCTAAATTCGTATCAGTTAGTCACCGTCTTATATCTATGAACAGACTTTACACCGTAATTCCTTTTATAAGCTAAATTACCTGTCCCATTAGCTGACATGCACCCCCCACAATAAAACATTTCCTACACCATGCTTCACCGTAGGACAGACATTTTCGATTTTCAGAGCTGTATTTTTTTTCCTCTAAACTTTAGCCCGACCGTCTGACCCAAAAGGATTAATTTTTGTTTCGTCACTTAAGATAACGTTTTCGCGAAACTCCCTGGTTTTGTTAATGTGTTCTTGGGCAAATTCCAAACATTTTTTCCAAAATTAATGGCAACGCGGACGATGCAAGCCGTTTGAGAGTTAACATTTTTTGAGAACTCTTCCCTGATTTCCTCTGCAAGTTTTGGAGCGCTTGTTTTAGAATTAATTCTAATTTTTTTCACAACAGAAGACTTCTCGTGCAGTTAACTTTCTGGGACGACTAGAGCGCGGCCACACTTTATAAGATCCGGTGGATTTGTATTAATTTATTACTGTACGGCTGAATGTGATTTTTTATTTTTTTTACCAAAATCTCTAAAGGATTTTTTTCTCTTTCCATAAATCTACTACGATTTTTCGAAGCGCATTTTGCTTTTACTTCAAAACCACTGACTTAAACGTGACGTCAAAAATAAACAAGTATAACTCATTTGTTTAAGCGAAATTGATAAAAATGATAAAATATTGATAATTATCGGTTCTACTTGCAGTTCTGTATAGTGATTTAGTAAAGTATATGGAGACTTATTTGACATAGTTTCTATGTAAAACTGCCTTATTTTTTATTGTTCAAATAAATTGTCTCAAATGATTTTTATTTTATTTTTATTACTCTCATTGAGATTGCCGATATTTACTTGAATTATATTTCTCATTAAATGTAAGTGAAAGAAGAAACTAAAAGAAAACTGAAAAAGTACTATGTATACAGAGACTTTTTTGACCAACTGTACATTCATGGATGACAGTTATAAACTTTATCCACTCTTCGATTGCGCCATTTCTATGGCTGCATTACGATTGGATACCATAGCTTGACTAAGAATCACGTTCGTGAATTTAATAGCGATTTGCTGAGATAACGCGAACATATTGTCATTTTAAGCATAAAGCACCTCCCCTTTTGACTTTCGTGTGCTGAAAAATGTATTCGGATATGGTCGTAGTCCGTGACATTTTACTTGAATATTGTGAATACTGACCAAACCTTTGAAATTTATTAAAAAAAAAATTCAAAAAAATGTTATCGGAATAAACTGTTGCGACTAAAATCGGAAATGTAGTGCAGGTATGAGATCTCAAAATGAAAGAGTGAGAGAGAAAGAGAGAGAACCATGTTCAACGTTGGATCCAATAGTTGGATCTTTTCTTGCAGGTCAATGTTGAAGCCTTCGACGCCGGTCAAACCGTCCATCGACCTGCTGGCCCAAGCACCGACGATGGACAATAACCGTCTCGAAAAACTAGTCAAAAATTTCGTGCACGAGGACAAGGCGAGGCTGGCTGCGGAGGCCGCCGCGAAAACTCACCCCAAACCAATGCCTTCTAGTATACAGTACGCGTTGCAGAAGTTCGAGAAGGGTGCCGGTGTTGACTTGGAGAACGGCTTCGGCGCGCAGGTTGGGATTAGGAAACACGCTCCAAGCACCACGGTGACGCCGGCGGTTAAAAAATATGGCGGTGTTTCGGCAGATCAGGTAAGTTGTCGTTTCCTCAATTGCAACAGACAACGTCATATGCCGAAATGTGGATCTTTTAATATTACTTATTTTTTTCTCCAAAATTAACTCCCCAACTAACGGTAAAAAAGAATTAACTGCATAAAATAATGTTATTTCAATACCAGATTGGAAAACATTTTAAATGGACTTATTCGATTATATCAGTAGTTTTTTGATGTGGTTAACATTTTAGAAATAATAGTTATGAGCATGCTGACAAAAATAACCATAATAATGGATGTGTGTGTGTGCCGCCAACATTGGGTCAAAAATATCGAACTCTCAATGCAGAGTTTTGGGAAATCTGCAGAATCCTTTTAGAGTTCCCCGAACGATATACCGTTTTTACGACATAATCCGGTATTTAACTTTGGTAAATTTTTAACTAATCAAAACTGCAGGCTTACCTCGCTTGACGTTCCAAAACCATACTTAGGTACTTCGTGCATACAAAGCTGACGAATTTGCGTTTCATCATTATATCATTATCAATCAAAAATTTTTGAATGTCTTCTTTAGCCAATGATGAATTCGATAAAGACGGTATATCGTACGGCGAACTTTACACGATTACTGCAAGAATATGGTATTCCCAGAATAGTATGATTTATTGCGTTAAAGCTAGACTTTAACTAGAGCTGTATACATTACGTGCGAGGTGACATATGTGCAGAGTATAGTTTATTTTCAAAGAAACTTCCACAGGCTACTGTAATACTTTTCACAAAACTCTTGGATTCCTCCTGCGCCGGTTTTTGTTAAGTGAAACTTACTAACGTTTCACCAATCATCCTGGTCGCTTCTTCAGAGCTTAACTGAAACTATATGTATATGTTTGTTTACAAAATTATCGGGTTCGGAGTGGAAACCCGTTCATTGAAAATAATTGATAAGCGCCAATCTATTATGAAAACGGAAAGTCTGACACAATTGAGCCTGGAATGTTTGTCACACATTGCCCATTACCAAATCGAACGAAACGTGATTCGATCATAAAGCTGTTAAAATTGGATAAATTCATAAAATCTCCTCAGCACAAACTGGACGTCCGAGTTCCGAAAGGTAAAATGATATTGTCATATACCTATTTTTTTTTAGAAATTTTGTATAAAGAAAGTAAGAGCTTCGAATCGTAGAACCATTCGATCTGCTCTTGTCGCACTGCCTTTATTTATTGCCCTCGATAAGCGTTATGTATATGAATGTTGAGAAAGTGGGAGGTCATCATCATTTTCCTTTTAATCGACCAAGCCGGGATGCTTAATTACGGAACAATAAATTTAAATTTGATATCGTTAAAGGTCAAACGGTCATCCGGCTTTTCTTTAATCTAATTTGTTGTTTGATTGTCTGAAAATAGGCTCTAGCATAATGGCGCCCCAATTTCCTTTCACTCGCTCGTATCTGATTCACGGTGCAAATTGATGAATCCGCCTCAATTTTTTTTCACTCGCCGAAAATGGGCCAATTAAAATGGTTGCACTTTGATGAATGAAGAGATAAAAATAATACGTCTTTAGCAAATTGGAATAAATCACTGGTGGAGATTCGGTTTCCCTTTTTCTACCAAAATCACTGGTCTCTTTGTAACCGGTGACCTGTTTCTGTAATCTGAGCCTCACCGTAATCTATAAATAATTTCCTGAAAATCGTCACTTTATTTAACTTTGAAATTTATTTTTTCTACTCCTTTCTCTAAAATACCCAACAATGCACTGATGCAACGTGCGTTAAGTTTCATTTAAAAACACCAGTTCGTTGCCTACGGTTGCGAGCCACTTCGAAGATTTCCGGTACCTTGGAAGCGACCGGATGTTTTCGGTAGAATTTAGCCACGGATGGTATTCTCACGTTTGTCAGTGCCGTTGACACGTCACACGTCACTCAGTGAATGTGGTAGAGAGAGAGATATCCTTTTCACAAACAGGCACGACTATAATGGCTATTCTCCCAGTACCGGCATTCGTCGAGGAATTTTTCTTTTGGTCACAGACCGACATGTAAAACAACTATAAGCAACATTTCTTCTCAGCCTTCAAAAAAGGACTGATCGATAATAAAAAACGACCTCCCTCGCTTCCCCCACGGACCATCCGGCCTTTAACCGGCGTGGATGGCAAAAACAGCGGAGCCGACAACGATTTAACACTTTAAAAACTTCAAAAAACACTTGGGGAATATAAACCTCACAATTGAAACCGATATCAAAACTTTTTGAGACAATTACAAAGGATTCTGTCGGAAGCGACCGGAGGTGCAATGCTCACGACAGAATCTTCAGTAAATGTGGTCGTTTTGTACCCAAACATTAATTAATGGCCGTAAACTATGTATAGTCTGCAACACGTTGATAAACTTCTTCTGTCACTCATTTATTAAGAACTCGATCCGCTGTGTTCCCCTTGTGCCAAATAACAGCGATAAACCCTCTTTATTGGTAAAAAAAGTGCATCTTGAAATGTTTATTTTAGTATAATAAATTGACCAAAAGATGAAATTTTGCTTCCTCATTGGGAACATTTTTAGAAAGAAGCTTTTTTCAAACATTGCAGTTTTCTGTTTGGGTATACGAAATGTGGAATGACCAGACTGCTTGCTTTTCGTATGTTGTGGTGTCAAAGTAAACAAAATGTTATAGTGATGGACAATCAAACTCTTAATTAAAACAGTGTTTACGAAACTTGTTGCATAATATAATATAATTAGTTTTCTCTCCTTGAACTCGATTTTACTAGTGACGTCGAAATAACAAATTTGAATATTCACTTCTTTATGCCTTAGGTGTGTCCTAAGTGCACAACCATTATATATAAATAAATAAATAAGTGTAACTGCGCTTATTAGTCCGCAATGTTAGCTGATAGTGATCGACAATCCGTAAATTCCGCTTTTAAATGACAATCCCGGTCTTTTTAAATATTAATTAACGTAATTATATTTTGCGCAAACGATTCTGGCACGGGATATAATTTTGGGTCATTATTGATGCGATGAAGGACGAATCGTGGCTACGGATTTCGCGAAAATCGGCGTTTCGCGTGATTTCTGTCTTCCCCGTAGATAGATTCGTTCGATGGTTCAATTTTCCATTTAATCAGTTAAATATTTCTTTGATCCATTGCGAAATTGGAGCCAGTTAAAAGTTTTCGATTTTGTTGTAAAAATAGGAGAACTTAATAGGCCTGGATTACATTTAATTAAACATATTTGGAAAATTTTGATTTTAATTTTTAATCTTGTAAACTGAATTGTGACTATAAATTCAATGAAATAACTCCAAATCTGACTGACTGTTTCAACATTGAGCTTTTTTTAAAACAGCCCGACTGAAAAGCAATCTTCTCTGATTTTATTCATCGTAATTGTTTCATAAAACGTTATTTTAACCAGTTGGTTTTGTCATAATTAGTAAAATTAATTATTACACTGTTAGTTTTGATTAGTTAAAGCTTATAGTTATTTAGAACTATTCAGTTTCTGTATTTATATTCGAATAATTCACCCGAGACAAATTTAAATTAATGGATTTTTATATTTTACGATTCTCGCATTGCGTCCCACTTATAGTGCATGTAAGAATTTGAACGGTCGTTTTTGATTGTTGGAGTCGACCTCATCTCATTGTCCTCGTGATCAAGTGTAAAAATATTGGCTTTGTTATTTACCAAGTTAAAAAGAACTGTTTAGTATAAAATTTATTTAGTTCATTACTTTGCTAATTATTTTTCTCTATTTAGTTGCAAAGTTTTGCATTTTTGTTAGACGTTATTTAAGATTTTTTGCCAAATCTATTGGGTATATTTTGAATGAGCGAAATCAGTCGTCGAAAACATAAAAAGGGCATATAAGTACACTTTTTCCTTTCAAAAATACGAGTCGAGTGAAGTAGTTGGAAATTGGTTTTCTTTAACCAATTTAGTTTTCGATATACTGCTGGATACGAAAGGGATAAAAAAATATATGGTTAATACCTGTTATACTTAAAAATAAGTATATTTCAACATGGGTTATTTCATAATTTTTAACTAAATTACGCTTTTCCAAAAAAAATTTTTTTTCGTAGGTTAACTACATTGCCAAAGTTGTCTTTGTCTAAAATTTTGCACTTGGCGCGTATTAATTTAACATTTCTTCAAAACTTAACTAATTTTAGCTCAACTATAATATATGTTCATTCAAAACGTGGTGAAACGACGGTCCTCCAAATGAAGTTTTTCTACTTCCTACTCAAAAATACCTTCGAAAAATAGTCGTCGAAATAAAAAAACGTTCAGAACATTTTTCAGTTCCTCTTTTATGAAACACTCGCCTCTACAGTCCAATAGTGCTAAATCAAACTCGGGACTATAGTGGCGTTTATCAAACTTGTTGAATGATATCCCATTAGAAATTAAAAGTATTGAAAGTTCAAAATTGCAGCCTAGGTCAAGATATTTTTAAAATCATTTGAATTTAAAAAACCTCTGCAAAAAGTCGGCGATAGAGAGTCTGTTTTAATTTTGCAGATAATGTACCCACGTCGATAGAACAATTAGTTATTCGGTAATACCTACAATCTCGGCAGTGATAATGTCTTATTTTTTCACCTAGATACTCCGTACACGTGATCAAGCGTTTGTCTGTAATTAAACCCAATGCGTTTGCGTACGGTACCCTGTCCCCCAAAGTGCACGTGGCACTTTCGCTAAGGTTGTATAGCGCGACGATTCCGTCTCGAGTCACGTTTGCAACACGTTTGTAGGAGCTTTAACTATTTCTTGGATTGCACAGTTGAATCCTAAATATTTTGCATTATGAATTGACCAAATGCTATTAATATATGAACGAAAACAAAATGTTAAAAAATTTCAAATAGTTGATGATGGTTTAAGAAAAATTAAAAGCAGCAAGAGATTTTTGACTTCATCGAAAGATTATACTCAAGAAATTCCAATGAAAATTAAATTAAAAAATAAAACTGATTTTTTTAAATTTTTTTTAGTTGGTTGTTCGCACTTGAAATGTTTAAATATTTTATTAAACGACTATTACAAATTAAGAAGCTTCAGGATAACAAAGAGTTTATTGTCAATAAATGATTGTAGTTGTTGAATTTTTATTATTGTCTTGTTAAGAAAGCCTTAATGACGCACTCGAACACTTTGTCAGTCTAAGACTTCTTGATTTGTTTAATAAAATAATTGAGCCTGAATTTAGGTATATGTTAAATGAATTTATACAGTGTGATCACTTAAGTTTGCAACATTTTTTTAAATTCTATTACTATTATTATTATTATTGATATTTGTCTGATTAAGAAGAGTAGTTTTGAGATTTTATAAAAAATGGTAGTGCTCAATAGCGTTGCAACAAACAAACGCAACCACAAAAAGCTCCGTGAGTAAAATATTAAAAATCTAAATTAACTTTTCAGATATGCAAATGTGCTACATTGATTTCATTTAATAAACATGTTTAGGTTAAATTACAAAATTTGCAAATTGCTAACTAAAAAAGACCAAAAGCATCATTTTTATCAACTACTTTTCCTAATAGCATTTTTCGATTTTTTTTTACTAAAGGTACTTTACTTTTGTTCAAATTTTATATTTTATGACTTACCTTGCATACCGTTGGACGAACGAACGAACGACGGCAATTGTAATTTGATGAAGGAATTAATATAGAGAAATCTCATATGTTGTACCGGGGCCACACGGTGTACTGTGATTCTTGAAAAAAAAATTGTTTTTCCCTTTCCACTGATCATTTTTGTAATTTTGTTTACAAACAGTCCATGTATAAATGTACTTTTAATTTTTTTGAACATATCAAAGTTAAACCGGCCCGACATTATAGGGGTCATACTGTACCAATTTCTAATTTGATTGCTGCAGAATCTTTTTATGGATATATGAGCCCCACTAAAATAGTATTTTAGTAGTATTGTTTAGCTTGATGAACCCTTTAAATTATATAATCGATGCGAGCTTAAATGGGTTAATTAAAAAAAATAAATAAAAAACAATGTCCACCGACTTCCTGTAAAGGCTCGTAGCTTTGTAAGGAGGACCTGTAGGGAAAAGATTATAGGAATTTGTCATGTTCGTTTTTCCTATCTCAATAAGACTTCCCACATTTTCCTGGATGCCCGCTACATATATTAATATCAAATTTTTGCTGACTACAATTTTCCCACAATAGGTCGAGTAATAAGATTAATTCATTCAGATACCAACGGCTTACACTGTTTAGTCACTAATAACACACTTGCGTTAATTTCAGACGACACACACCGCCAAACCGGTAATCGGACAAAAACCCCAAGTGTCGCCAAAACCCGCTCGACTCGGGGGCGAGACAATCGAGATGATATTGCCACCCGACCTCAATCCTGTCTCCGGATTGCAAACGTGGCCCCTAAAGAATCGCGTGATCTCGACCGAAACGGTCAAAAAAACGTCGGGCATCACCACGCCGACAGATATACACCAACGGCAACCCCACGATATTCGACATTCGTCCCAAGTCGGACCATCGGCCCACCATCAACAACAATCGCCACAGAACACCCGAACTTACAATACTTTACCGGTTAAAGTGTCGAAAACAATCGTCGACGAGGTGAGACAGTGTTCTTTATGGGGAAATTAACATTTTCAGTTATGAGTAGTTTGCGATCTCTCTAAACCAAAAATATTTTGAACAGGTGTACAAGGTCGTCGTAATTTTACACTTCTGAAGAGAACGCTTTGTAAAATGCTTGGACCAAAACTGAAGTCGGTGTCTGAAGCATTTCGGAGTTATAGGATGTTTTTCGAATAAAATAACGCTTAATTTTTTTTTGCTGTCGATAATTTGGTGAAAATATTTCTAAAGCGCTTTTTTAAAATCTAATTTAATATTTATCTACAGATTTTTTTATATAACCTTATATATTTTATAATCATGGAAGTGAACTCGAGCCTCCTCTTCTTCGAACCTTAGATACCGGCATTAGTTTTCGCCTATCTACTTCAGAAATTGTAGTTTTCCTGTAGAGTGCATCTCAAATTCCCAGGTTTTTTTTATAACGATTTAAGTTGCACAAAAGTAAAGTTCATGGGTGTGGTACTTTTACTAAGTGTAAACGAAAAACCCATCCTATAGAAATCTATAACAAAAACAGAAAATAATTGTTACAAAGATTTTTGCTGACGTCATAAAATTGGAAAACACTCGTAGCCCTAAAAAAATATATTACGTACATTACGAGATTTTTTAGTAAGTTCGTTAAATGGTACAGGTACGGATCTCCAACTTTTGAATATCATTTCATTCTTATACAAAACAATACTGCAGCATTATTCATTACAATAATATGCAACCAAACGCACTCTTACTCATTTCCGTTGCTAACCAAAACTAAATAATTAATATTATTATTTACATATTTGTCTTAACATTGGATTAGGTATCTATCTATACTAAACTTTTTACATTTTTTAATGAAGCATATTACACATTGTGTGAGAGAAGTCACAAAACTGTATGATGAGCAAGCACTAGCCAAATTATTATGTTCATATAGAAGTTCTATGTTATTTCAAGTTCAAGCACTATAAAAAATTAAATAAGTTTTTTTAAGGTTTTTGAAAAAAATATATATTATTATTATTTTCTAGAAAATCACTATTTTTCTGGATGTCTAATTCTCTATAACAAAAGGTATAAAATTTAATAAACTTCTAACAGCCTCTTTACAAAGAAGTTACTGTCTAAATAACTTTTTTAGTTTTGCTTATATAACTGCGTTATTCTTTTATATCTCCAAAAGATGTTTGTATGCTGCATGCAATGAAAATAGTTACCGTTATGCAGAGTAGCACATAACTTCCTTATTTTAAATGGAACGCCAGGTATATTATTTCATTTGTTGATTTCTTAAAAAATTTCATACTGGGTTTCCTTGGATTTTCCTATACATAATTGCAATATTGCAGGTGGTATGATAAACGGAGAAACGCAAGAATCATCCTTTCGAAATTGTACAGGGTGTCCAGAATCAGTCAGTTTAAAAGCTTCATTTTGTCAAATCCTGTCTTTTATTGTCTGTAATTAATTGTCAATCAGTATTTTTTGCTGCATCTCCCGTTTTGTTTTTTAAAGGTAGCCCTTGAAGAGAAGCGACTGATAAATGCTTTGAAAAATGGCGATCTGGTCACGGACGGGTTTCCGCACAACGCTGCAGTGTCGAAGGTGCCCACCAAACATATACTGCGGGAACCCGAAAAATCCACAGAAGGTACAACCAAATGGGCCTTGAGGACAACCCCCAAAAGACCCGAGCAACAGGTAAGTAACTTTCTTATAAAATTAAAAAAAAACGAAGCAGTCCTTTGACATCAGCGCCTTTTTTAAGTAGCAACTGGTGATTAAAAATTCATATATATTTGTAAATGTGAAAAAAAAACGATTTTTGCGATTTCAGTGACGCTTCCTTTAGATTGTTTATTTTTATGTTAACCTTGAAAAAGTTACACAGTCAAGACACGCAACGTTATCGTTAGTGTAATTAAGATAGCTTTGAAAAAAATTTAAGACGTATTTATTTCCTCGCAATGGAGTATTTAAGAGAATATATATATATATATATATATATATATATATATATATATATATATATATATATATATATATATATATATATATATATATATATATATATATATATATATATATATATATATATATATATATATATATATATATATATATATATATGTTCGAAGTGTTTTCGGAGCGCGAGCATTGAAGATGCCAAGTGAGATTTTGGCGAAACGTCTGCAGGATTCCAGTCGGATGCAGGATTTGCAGGATTCCAGTCGGATGCAGGATTCCAGTCGGAGTTCAACGAGCGAACGGATGATATCCCGGAGTATAGTGTCATCATATATATATATATATATATATATATATATATATATATATATATATATATATATATATATATATATATATATATATATATATATATATATATATATATATATATATATATATATATATATATATATATATATATATATATATATATATATATATATATATATATATATATAATGACTTGTGTTTTATAGTGTTTTGAAAAAAAAATTCAACGAAGCCGTATTATATCTTTGTATGGTTCGGGCTTGAAATAAAAAGAAAATTTGGCGTGATATACGCAGATTCAGTGCAACAAATGCGTCTTCCAGGTTCCTCACCCGGAATTGACTTCGAGCCAAAGACTGCACTTAAGACAGACCGCCTCCAACCCCGTTCGGCCCTTCTTAACGAGGGGCTCCGTGGCCGAGAGAGTACTAATTTTCGAAAGGTGCCCCAGCGATCTGTTGTTGGATAAAAGGGCGCGAGCGCCTGTGTCTCAAGTTGTCAAAACCCAAGTAAGTCACTTCTCATTATGATCCCAGATTACTTGACCCATTAAAATTTTAAAAATATCAACCTGAACCTATTTGTCAAAATTATTATGCTATGAAATGATTTGATGATTGATTTGGTTTGAAATGATTAAGGGAGTACATTTTTCTTAATTAGTAATTTTCTCTGTAACCTATTGGACTTTTAATTAAAACAATTTATTTTTGTCGGAATAGGGAACTTGAACATTTTTTTTATTTCTTAAATACATTCGTTTATGTCCAGAAATAACGCATACCAAATAACAAAACTCAAAACCCAATATTGAAGTTGCAATAAATAATTCAAGTTGTGATTACCGTCTGTTCCTTTTAGACAACACTAACCGCTCGAGAATGATTGTGAGAAAATAAACTAGATAGATGGTAGAACCATACTAAAGGCTATTCGCTCAAAACGTGCTCAAAAGTGTATTGAATTATGAGGTGCTGTTTTCGAACACCTCTTAATATAACATCAATAATTAATCATAAATTAATTAGGTTTTCTATTTTCTTATTTCCATGTTTCTTAAGTTGAAATAAAACAAGAAAAATAAAATATAAAATAATTTCGGTTATTTTCAATTTTAGGCTAATATTGCATATACATTTGTTCTGTTAGCGATTTACGAACGTTAGAATGAAAAATATACAGGGTGTTTCATTTAAAAAGAGGACATTTTCCTAATTCCTTCCTAAACCTTACATTCAGTTGTTTTTCTGTTTTCACCGTCTGAATCAGTGGAAAAAATTCTACTAGTGTGCTAATTTAACCGAATTTGTATCTCTATTCAAATCAAAGTTATTTACCAATAATTAACACTTATTTAGATCAGTATATTGTAAGAACTTTAAAACAATTTCCCACTGTTGAGTTCAAATAATTATAGTTCAATTAGCTATCTCTGTTTTGTTTAATTTTTTTTAGTTTGGTTTTTCTTGAAAAGCTAATGTAATGTTTATCCTGATATAATTCATATCCTAGGTGTTCTATTGTAATTTGACTTCTATAGACAATATAATGATACCTATTTTCGAAAACTGACGGTATGTGTGTTTTTAAATTCGCTATAGCTAAGTGTTAACTAATAGGTAAATAATGTGTAAAATAGAATATCTATAAAAAAATAGCATATAGAAATAGAAAATTTATTTAAAGCACTGCTTTGTAGAACTCCCATGAGAACATTATAACCTGCCGATGTGTCAGGATAGTTATGAATTAGTTAATACTTGCAGTAGGATATAAATTATTTGACCAATAAAGTCCCAAAGCAGCCGTCGGACAGCAGCGGTTAACCTTGACTCGGTACTACCTGCATAGTGTTTATTTATGTGAATTCTGACACCTACGAAGGCGTGTATATCGCGAAGGAGTCGCAGGCCTACACTTTGTTATGCAATTGATCGTTGTCGATCATGTTTTAATATAACTGCCTACGTATTTATTGGGCTTTATAATTAGCGACCACACCGCGAGAAATTCGTAGCTGTAATATTAATATTCATCTACTTTAATGTTTAAACCGTCAACATAGCAAGGGGTCATCGATAAATTACGTCACACGAATTTCATGATTACCTCTCCACCATCTCGCACATTGTCTGATCTTGCGAGCCTCCTTCTTCGTCTTTAATGTGTAAATTAATTTACGGATACCACCTAAAATGAAATGTATGAAAACTTTTTAAGCCGTTACCGAGGCAGCCGGTCCTGCAACACACCACCCTTCAGAGACACGTCCGAGCTAATCGGAACGTCAACATCCCCAGGTTTCACTACCCCACGGGTAAACCGGGGCCGCCCGGTCACTTGGAAGTCGTCCGGGCCAAAGTCAAAGCCGCATTCGCCGGTGTCGGCGAAAGAGCTTCCAGGTATTTGACTTTTTTTTTCTATCAGCGTCGTCCAGAAAGAAATGTAAACTCAAATTTTAATAGAATGGATTCATGATATATTTAATTAATTCCTTTTTTATGCCGTTGCCGAATATGTCAATCACAATAAGATTGTTAGTTAAAAACCAAAAAATTATAATAATATACGATTCAGTGTTCAAAAAATGGGAACACAAGGGGGAAATTAGCAAAGCATAAAAACAACTGTTTCAAAGAAATATTTTTATGCAATTCTCCGCTAATTGTGTAAATATATTTCTTGCAGGGAACACTTTGCAGCTGTCACTCAGGCGTGCCAACTGCCTCTGTATTGGAAGACCCCGTTGTATCTGGCTGCATGCGCTGATAAGGGCAGTTGCACTTTTGATCAGTTTATAACTTTTTGGCAAGGGTAAGTAATTACTTCCTCTCCAATAAAATATAAAAAAAGAAAATTTAGAACATGCAGGTTGTATCAAAAATTTCAATATTACTTTTTCAGGATGGCCTCGAATTGCAACGATGCGCCTTCTCGTTTCGTATATATTTTGACCAGGGGCAAACGTAACTACTTGGTTCCCGAGGATTTCATTCCCATGGTCCAGGATGTGGTCGAAACCCATCCGGGGCTGACGTTCCTGAAGGAGGCAACCGAATTTCACTCGCGATACGTACACACAGTTATCGCCAGGTATAAGGGTGCCCAGGGTACCATTTAAAATGAAAATTCCTTCAGCGGATGTGGTTTTCCAGAATTTATTATTGCGTGAATCGTTCGTGGTCAGCCAAAATAACCATACCGGAGCTGAGAAGATCGAATTTGCTAAATGTGATTCAATTACTCGAGGAAGAAGAGGATATTAATCAGATTACACAATACTTCAGTTACGAGCACTTTTACGTTATTTACTGCAAGTTTTGGGAACTTGACAGAGATCATGACTTGTTTATTGATAAACAAGATCTCACCAGGCACAACGATCACGGTAGGGTACTATACATATTTTATTTTACCAAAGTCACCAAACCGAAATTTAACTGCAGTCAGTTTTTGTTAGTGTTGGAGCTGGTGAATTGACCACTTTTTGCAATTGTAGAGTGTTATCTATCATTATTTAATTATATATTTTTTATAATAAGTCGGGGAATCCGAATAATATCCACTCTACTTTTGTTTAAAAAGATTTTAACACAAAAGTTTTTTGTTTTGGGATCAATAATAAACCGTGAAAAAATTAAGTAGATTTTATTTTTTTCATTCTAGACTATCTTAACTAAAAATTTCCAATTTATCTCTGCTCCCTGTCATTGCAATGCTTTTTATTATGAATTTTTTATAAATTTACACCTTGTGTTCCATGTTCCATATATTATCTCAAAATCTAGATTTAGATAAAAATATAATAGTTTTATGTATACAGGGTGTCTCGAATATGCTGTAGCTTCATTAACATTATATTTTTGTTATTGGTGATATTTTTGTTCATTTTTTTTATCATAGGTGTGATATCAGTCAATCAATTACCCACTATGTAATTACACTATGTTAAGAACAGTAAAAATACCTATCATTTTGTGCATACAGGGCGTTTTAAAAAACATGCGTCAAAAGTAAGTCCGGAAATGCCGAGATTTAAATGACGTTTTGGTAGTTGCATTCAATAAATACTGTCCTCGGCTACAACGCCAAATAACTAATCACTAAAAGAACCGGAATTTGATTTGATTATTCTGGTTTCATCTAAAAGAAAGGGCGATAACTTTTCTTGAATACATTCAAATAATTTATGATACACAGACGGGTTATTACCACTTGAGACTTTGAATATCACCTAGCCTGCCAAATTTTTTATTTATCAAAATTTTCAAAAATGACGATGAAGTCATCGGTTTTGTATGCACACAAAAACAAAATAATTCGAATTTCAAATGCAAAATGATTATAAAAGGTTTTTTCTAAAGGAAGTGGGGAATGGGAACAGCATTAAACCATTTGTAGGCACAGTAAGAAAACGATCTTTCAAACAATGCTTTACGATGCGGGACAGGAGAAATAAGACCCCTATATCGAAGAGTGAAAGTGCGGACATAGGTTCGGTAAATCATTTTTTCAAAGAGATATGGAGGGCAGAAATTTAAAATTACGTAATCAACTGAAACATGATAAAGCAAAGTTTCAGCCCTCCAGGATTATTCGCCAGTGCGTTCGATCGTTTTTGTACAAGGATCGTTGCTTCTTTGCCTTCAATTCCGCAAGACGTTCAGGTTCAATTATTTTTTATATCTTAAAAATATCCGGGATGGTCGACTTTAGTAAAATACATTTAGAAATTTTTGCTACTTAAAAGTTGTTATAATTTATTATTTCAGCTCTATCTTCTCGCATTATCGACCGCATATTCAGCGGCTGCGTGACTCGTGGCAACAAAAAACACCACGAAGAACGTATGTCCTACACCGATTTCGTTTGGTTTCTGCTTAGCGAAGAGGACAAACTGCACCCCACAGCGATCGAATACTGGTTCCGCTGCATGGATCTCGATGGCGACGGCTACCTTTCAATGTACGAGCTCGAGTATTTTTATGAAGAACAAATGCAGAGGATGGAGAGTATCGGAATCGAAACTCTACCCTTTCAAGTACGTTTTCGTCGAGCCATGACGCCTTACTAATTTGATTTTTCTTTTTCAGGACTGTCTTTGTCAAATGCTGGACATGGTCAAGCCCAAGATGGCTGGCAAAGTGGCCCTCAGCGATTTGAAGAAGTGCAAAATGACCCCTATTTTCTTCGACACATTCTTCAATCTGGAAAAGTATTTGGATCACGAGCAGAGAGATCCATTTGCTTCCCAGAGGGATCACGATATAGACGGGTTAGAGGTATGGGCCGCTAAGCAGTTAACATCTATTTCCAAAGAAATTAAATGAATTTTTTAAACAATTGCATTTTCAGATGTCCGATTGGGATCGATATGCCGCAGAGGAATATGAACTTCTCGTTGCTGAAGAGGGTGGGAATGACGTGCAGGAGAGCCTGTAAGTGTGATTTGAAAATTTTCATTTTTTTTATCTCTTGAACTCCATGAAAACCATTTATTTATTTTTGACTTGGGTTAAATGATTCACAATTAAAATGTTTTAAACTGGTGGGATAACTGTGATCCTTAAGGTATGCGGGTAAACCTTTTAGAGTAGGGATAACTTTTTGACTAATTTATATTGTCGGTTGTGTTTAAGGGAGTACGAATGTGGCTATGATAGGGTAAGCTAAACATACTGTGGCATGTTTTCAATTTACTAATATTCTAACATTGAATTGAAATCGAGTTGACTAACATCTTTGCCCTGAAACTAACTGCAACCATCCATTGACATTATTTGCCAAAAGGGGTCCGATAATTCTTTGATAGAAAGTTTAGAAATGGTCAGCCTAAATAAAGAAAAAATAATGTATGGCGGGTGAGTGGCGCAGTGGCATTGAAATCTGTTTTACATGTTCAAGGATAAAGTGGTTCTAACCAATTCCGTTATATTTTCACCGTTACGATGATTGTTTCAGTTTATTGTAGCGCAAAAAACAGTTCCTTACACACTCAACCCACAAAAAAAACTTTGTGTTTTTGATAACTGTCAGGTCGTCCCTTTTGGATATATTGTCACTGACTTAATGAATCACCTGGTTTGCCGGTTTATTAGCATTAATCACTTTGGTACAAACTCCTTTATTTATAACTTAGACTCTGCACGCAACTCAACTTTAATTCGTTCTTCATGTAAATGACTTAAGTACTTAGTACCTTTTCGAATATAAGCTTCAAATTAACTAATCTAAGATAAATTTGTACACTTTTTGTCAAAATTCTTATGGTTTCAAAATTATTGCCAACATTTAAATTTGATTGCATAACGAAATGTTTGTTTGGAATTTTAACAACTCCAATGCTATGATGTTTTGAGGAACAGCGATTTAAGAACTTTATAATTGAGAATGTGTTTTCGAATATTTATCAATATTTGTAGCTCGTCCGATGAGGGAAATGAAGACTTGTTGTCGCAACATGTCGATGACGCTCTTGAGCTGTCGGAAGATGAGAGCGACTGCAGTATTTAGTATAAGGATATTTGAACGTTTCGATGAGTTTCAAATGTTTAACGTAACCAGGGCAAAATCGATATATTTTGGCGTACGAATGTGAACTTTTTGTATTGTTAGAATACATTAAAGGACAAATATAGTTTTTCACGACACTCTACGTAGCAAAACTCAGCAAGTGCAGCTTACAGACCCTTGATGTTAGTATGTAACTGATACTCTTGTATAGAGGGTGTTTCCATAGATCGAATGGAAATGAATCAATTTGAAAATTTTCTGTTTAATCAGATAACCAATCCATTCCTTTTTTAATTTCTATAGCGGAATAATATTACAGTACATTTCAACATCAGCATACATCAACATCACAGTAACCTTAGCCCATTATATGCTTTTATAGTGATACTTCATGAATGGGCCGATTTTGGCAATTAAAACTAGGTTGTAAAGAAGGATTTTTAAGATTATGTCCATATGAACATATGGGATATAAGGGATATATTCCAAAGTACAGTTGAATTTTATAAAGCACGAAAAGGCCACCTAAACCACATGCAAAACCATCCAACGATTGAAACAGTTCTTTCGAAACACCCTTTATATAGTCAGGTGGGATATCCATTTGTTGTAGTTTAAACTATAAAATCAAAATAAGAGATTTTATGAAATAAATTTAATAAACAACCACTTTTTGCGGGAGACGGATCTGCCCTCGAGCACGTCAACAAATGGGTATGACAAATGACAAAACAGTTTTTACAAATCCCAAGCACAAAGCAAGAATTGTGATTCATGAAATATTTAGATATTATTTAGATAAAGTATAGCGGAAACGTGTCCTTTTGCATAGTATGTAGTAAGAATTATTCATAGATCTAGTCTCCTAAGTTTGATAGATAAATGTGTGTGTTGTTGACTTTTTTGTTTTAGCATATTTTCTCCTGTCTTAATTATCTTGTTTTTCTAGATTACGTTTGACTCAAATACTAGTGGCATATCTGACGAATATATTGTATGTTTCAGTTTTGCTTGATTGTACCTGACTTCAATTTTTTCTGGAACAAATTTCCACCTATCAAAGCAAAACCATAGTTGAACAAATGTCAAGCTTTTTATTATTATACTCATAAAATTAAAATAAGGTTTGAAAGATAAATATTTTGTTACCGTTAATTTTTTTTCGTTATTTATTGAAGAAACGGTGTGCTTTTTATGTGAGTTTGTCCTAATTGTAATACTATTATATCGAATTTACTTAGTACTACTGTTATGTATACCTTCCGTGATTTTAACATCACACGAGCTAATTGTTGGAATTGTATAGTATAGTTTATTTAACATAATTTACACATTTATTTTTAACTATTACTATTAAATTAGAATATAAAATTTACTAGTCATTTTTACTGTCTTACTTTATTACATAACTCTGTATTAAAGTTTATTATTATATTGCAGTTTTCTTTTAAGAGCGTTTTATTGATTTTATTTTCAAAATTTTCAGTTTCAGTAACCACATTGAAAAAAAACCATGAAAAGGGGCCAACTCAGAGAGTAGAAAAATATATTTACACCAACTGGAACTCGTTTATTTATTACTTATCCCAGAGGCCAATCTCCTTCATTTTCGTTTGGAAGTATTGCTGTAGATTGACAGCACACTGGTAATACTCAGTTTCTGGTAAATTGTATACTTTGCAATTGGTAAATATTCTCATCATGTCAGCGATGAACAATCTTCTTGATACATAATATCTTGCCTTAAGCCTCTCTGTCATTGTTTTCAAATCTAAAACACACATTCCTCTTTGAGATACAAAATGGTGTTGAAACCTAATTTGAATAGGCGATTGAACAGAGAAAAGAAATATACCCAAAAATAACTTTAAATTAACCAGAGAAACAAATTAAACCTATGCATTTACTAGTTTTGAAAACCCTAAATAAACTTTCAAAATCCTCACCCATGGGATATTTAATGTGTTCATAATAATCTTTAACAATATCTTTGTTGACTGGTTCCCTAAAAGGCCACGAAGAGGCGTGGTTCTTCACCTAAAACACCAAATGACCCAACCCTTTCTATGATTTTCTTAACACTTACCGCATTTAAAACAGTCTTAAACATTCCAGCCAAGGTGTCAATGTCCTGAGACTCTTCGAGTTGTTGGCCCCTAGTGGTTCTCGTAGAAGGTTTGTAACCTGTTTCCTCCAGTCCCGGAATGGATTCCACAGGTATACTTTTAACTCCTACAAATATTTATAAGCTCTATTAATTTCTCCTAGGAATAATTGTTTAATCTTAAAAAATTCTCAATTGTTTTATATTATACAGATGCCACAATTGTACAAAACAAAAGTGTGAAGTGTTATACAGCAACAAGTAAAAAGATTTAAGCAACAAAATTTTTTACCATCCTTAAAAAATGTAATTCCTGGATGCACTTTGGAGACACTTCGCTGCTGCTGATAAATCAGCTGCTTAATAAACTTCTGCTGCCTCCTAACAATATTCGTGAATTCCGTATAGACGATCTTGGGATTCAGCTCGCAGTGCATCAAAGTTGCGCCTTCATAATCTTTTATATAGCCTTGATATACCACTTTGCTTAGCCTAATATCCTTCGAAAACCCTTGCCGCTCAAAATAACCTACAACTCTGCATTAGTTACCTAATTCAAGACGCACTAACTGGTTATTCACTAGCCTAAATTTTGTTATCATCATACTTTCTAGCAAAATTATATTTATTTATTATACACAAATACATTTGTTGGTCCAACTTTTATTCGCCACCTACAGAAATGTCCAAGGAAAGATACGCTGGATTTTAGTCATTTTATGTCTGGTCAACTAACTTACCAATGGCATTTTCGTCAGCAAATGTCAGACAATGCAGGATACCTTTAGAAATATGGTAATCTTTCAGATGGTTCATCAAATGAGTGCCATAACCTTTGATCTGCTCCCTATCAGTCACCACACAAAAAACGATTTCTGTAAAACCCTGAGTGAAGAATGGCCGAAAACAAATACCCCCCATTGGTTTGTTATCCTTAATTAATGCTATGGTCCGATGCTTCCTAAAAATAAATTTTCTTATGAAATGAGTAGATTACTGATGAAAAGGAGTTCTACTCACGGATCAAAAAGCAGCAGAGTAATGTATTCCACTGGCATGCTGGGCAGTTGCTGAGAAAAGACATTCTTGAGTCCAATCAGCCAGAGCATGACTTGTTTCGAGACAGGTTCTGTCAGACTGTTAGCGATCAAATGCATTTGTATTATACCGTTTTTCTCTTCCATTTTTGGCCCTGCGTCTGTTGGAGGTGTGTAATCTGAGAACACCAACTAAAACAGGGAACAACAAAAACTATTTTCAAGATTCTAACTTCCATTTTCTTAGGACAACCAATGAGAGAAACAGGTATTTTCATGTCAGTAAAACCACTCTGCTTTGGAATAAATCAATCTTGGGGACCAAGTTGATAAAATAATTAAAATAATAGAGAAATTATAAGAAACTTAACTTTAAAGAAAATATCAAAAACAACAGCAGTATCAACTTACATCTGGGCCTGTGAGATAATTTAAACTATCAATGGTAGCAATCACTTGACCAACAGTTTCTTGTGGTAGATCTTCAAAAGCTTCTTCACTAGTCATTTTTCTCCGTTTAGCTTCTCTGGGTTGTTCAATACTTGATCTAATGGCTTTGCCTATCAACAAAACAAAAAACAACAAATTCATAGAAACCATTTTTCAACTTACCTGAAACACCAGTTATGTCTTTTTCTTCAGCTCCTCCTGTAAACTTTTCAAATTCACTTTGTTTTGAAGTGCCTTAAAAATATAAACTTAATAAATAAATGTTCTTAAAAATTATTTTGAAATTTTTTAGATTAATGGCAAAACATACTAAAAATTTAAATATCTGGATTCTGACAAACTTCCAAAAAATAAAATAACACCATGCTTAAACAGATCAATAAGACAAAATAAAAATGAAATATAATAAATATAAATATAGAAATATAATAAATCAAAAACAACTACTCACCTTTTCCTTTGCTTGGGTCCACCAGCAAATATGGTATAGAGTGAGCTTTGAACTCAACATCCCAAATTGGAGAATTCTGCGCATATATTTCCTCATCTAGTTGATTTAAAAAGGGGGGAAAATTATTAAGAAGCATTACTTTCTGCTCAGAGGGTATTGTATCCCGGTCCTTGTGGAACTGATCCATAATCTGTTTCTTAAAGTATTTAAACACAGCTCTTAGTAATGTCCGACCAAAAACTTGTGTGGTGTCATAATGTTGCAGTGAATCACAAAAAGTAGGGATGTAACAAAATACTAACCACCTGCATCCAAAAAATTTGAATTAAATTAAAATAAATATTGCAAAATTGTTAGTAATAAACGAAAGAATGAAGACATGGTAGTAGTAATAGAATACTAAGCATCCCTAGCATCCTTTCAAACAGAAAATTATTAAATTCTTTACAAACCTTGTATACTCTATCCAATATATAGTTGCTTCCTCCTGACTGATTATATGCTGCTGACTGCTTGGTCTGGGTAGTTCCCAGGTATTCAAGCTATTAAAGAGTATTCTTGCCAGTTCATACATTGTCTTCAACTCTTGACCAATATGTGAGTACTTATAGACCAGAAGATTTGAGACAGCTTTTTCAATACTTGGTCTTTCAAAAGGTGGTTGACCCAAAGGACCCTCCACCACTGGAGTTTCCAAAGTTAATACACTATTTCTTAAAAGCTAATAAAATAATACCATAAGCAAAAGCAAATAACATATTTGATTCTACTATATAAACACAGAGTTTATTAGAGACATAAAATAATATTAATATATATTTACCTTAAATAAATAAAGGTACACTTTCTTAGTCTTAGGGTTTTCTTCTCTAGTCATTGCTGTATACATATTATCCACATCAATTACCATTCTCAACAATTTGTTTATTATTTCATCTGGTTGGTGTCTCAAATGTGAAATATGAAGCTCTGTGTTTGGTAAAAATATATTGTCATAAATTTAATTTTTACAAATTATAGGAAAAACAAAGCAGAAGTGAATCAGTTTTTTACTGAATAAGAAGCAATGTAGAGAATCTTACCAAGACTGTGTTCACATTTACAAGGATCTTCGAAAGTTGGACTGGGCATCGGCAGATCCGTTTTCTCAGGCCTTTTCCAACCGGTACATTCACATCCTGCTTGCTACATTAAATGTTAACTTAACTTGAAAAACAATCAAGGTGTTTTTGCTACCTGGCACTTGGAATAAACAGAGAGTTTTTGTAACTTCCTATTGAGGGGTAACTGTAATAAAATTTGTTTCTTTTGTTTTATTTTCTGCAGATTGTTGAGTCGGCTTCCGTCTTCTTCCATTTTTTTATCTGCTTGTGGTGGATGTTGGGGCTGTTCCGACTTAATAGATTCAGACGGGCCGTCTCCTTGGTCCATTGTATATCGCTTCGGTACTAAATTTTAATTAAGAATATTTAATACACAAAACTGAAAGACAATATAAATTTACAGTAGCCAATTTTAGTAAATAAATATAGCCAACAAGAGAACTTGTACTCACATCACTTTATGGTTATGATATTATGACACTGGCGTCTGTCACTTATCCGTCAAAACATCACTGATGCACTGCTCAATAGTCGCAAAGGTTATTGCTCAATAGTGGCAAAGGTTATGGCGGAACGGCCTCTTCAATAAAAAAATGCACGAGAACCGGAGCCACAACTCCTTTACTTTAATACATATCTATGTCTATGTCTATACAATTTATATTTAAGGACGATGGTGGCAAAACTAACCAAACTATTTCTATTCTTATTCTATTAGCAGTATCCCTGGCCTTGGTTGAGAGGGTGCTGCATTCAGACATTCTTATCCACAATACCAGGCAAAACTTCGCTCCCACTTCTTCTGGAGTTGTCCTCTGAGTGTTTTCAGTGACCTGTTGAGATTGCTACCAGCTTTAATAGTCCTGAAACTGGGAACCCACTTTAATGGTGTAGATGATCCCGGATTTAAAATCATGTTCCTCTTCATTTTGAGCACTACCCTATGATGTAAAGGCAGTTTGCGTTGGCAGTGGCAACAGCGCCGGCATGATGTAGCTCAACCTTTGCATTTTATTGTAAGGGTGTTTTGAAAACAAATTTTGAAAATTACTAATTCCTATAAAATCACTGAAAATAATATTAAGAAAATATGACACAGAAATAACCAGAGGTTTATGTAGTTTTCAGAACGATCATATACTGTTTCGTTTTCTATAAATAAACTTTTAATATGCTTTAAATTGTGAATCGCTCTATATTTCTTAATGCATTTTCCGGTTTATTTTGAAAACTATCAATTTCTAGAAAGAAAAAGACGTAACCGAAAGTTCCCAAAATTTATAGTTCATCTTACGAGTTCATTATGATCTTTAAATTTCCTTTCCTTTCCTTTAAGTTCACTTTTCGCACTTGTTAGGAAATATACGATTACAGCTAAGTATTCCTTGCCGATAAACGTTGAGGTAAAAAAAAAATATATCAGAGTGCACTATTTATTAGAATAAGGCATATCTACGTATCAGTGCTTGGAACGCTTGTGCTTAACTTTAAATATGCCTTTGTCGTAGAACCATTGCCTGACTGCTTGCGAATACATAAACCGCGTCGTCTTATTGAACACGATGAAAAACACAAACATGATAAACCCTTGCAGAGTCGCGGTGAAACAGAACAGATAGACGAACACAATGTCGCCCTTAATTTGGGAAACGAACCCGAATATCCAGGTTAATCCCAAAATGAAAAACAGGAGCAGAGCCAAACGCAACTGAAACAGTATATCGTTGTTGGACGTTTCCACGTATTCGGACTTCTTGTGGAATACGTTATACATTATAAACACGAAAATGATACTGTTTAGGGCGAGGATTATTGAAACCGGTAACCACACGCCCAAATAAAGTCCCAACTTTGACGGGTAACACAGACCCGCGCCTCCGTCTTCGTAATTATTCGGATCTATAAGGAACACGCAGAGAATGGGTATGCAGGGGAACACCCAGCCACAAATCAAAGCCTTAAGCAGGACATACTTCGGGGGACCACCCAGCACTTCGACGAATCTCTTAAACTGCAATATAGCGATCGTCATCATCCAGCAACATTCGGATAAAAGCGCGTAGTGTAAAACCATCCCCGTGATAGTACACGGTGTCCCGGAAGGGTTGGAATCGTAAACTGCGTCACTTATGTAAAGCATCAAAATTTTCAAGGCCGTGGCGAACGAAAAGTTGACGAGGATTTTGTTGCCGGTATTTTGACGCCACTTTTTAAAAAACAGACCCGTCAATAGGATCCCTATGATACCCAGCAGGGACAGGGTGCAGTTGATGTTGGTTATCATACTTAGGGTGGAGTCGTGGTCAGGTGCGGTTTCATACTCGGCCAAGAGCAGCGCAAAGTGAGTGACGTGGGAGAATTTGCATATGGTCATCATATGGAGACGTTCCCGTAATCCGTCCTGGGTCCAGCGACCTTGTTCGGATGTTGCGACGTTGTAGTTCCAATAAGCGCAGTTGTCAGCGTCGTCGGCGTCTAAACCTACATTAAACATGATCGAAATCGAGTCTTGAAGCGAGTCGTTTACTCCGGGCAATTGGATTCCGAATATGCTCTTCGTTGTCCTGCTGGAGTCGATCTCATTGAATAAAGCGTCGCTGTAGAAAATCGAAATGATCACTTTGTTATTCTCCATCAGTCGAATTTGCTCGATCAGAGGCGCACCGAATATGACCGCAGCTGCGACGGAATCATTTGCGGTGTAGTTTAAGTCGTTTTGCTGAGTTATCGGTTTGACTGTGCATATTGACGTTTCGCAGTCTTCGAGGTAGATTCCTGTTAAATCGGATCGGTTCAGATCGGTGACGATTATGGCGAAGTTATCTTCGTCGGTGACCCAGGTTTCATCGAGTTGCTTGGCGATCTCTTCTATGGCATGCAGGAGCAGGTCCGTAGCATTGAATTCGTTTTGCGAGTTCTCCAACACAGTTCTAAACAGGATATTTTATTGGCAATGGGACATACGTGAATTAGAGATATTAGGAGTGACTACATTTTCAAAATTTATTTATTTTTCTTTTTTCTACTTAAACGGATTGCTTCTCGGAAAACAGGTTTTAATTTCATGGGCCAAATCTGCTAAAAAAATTCTTGATACTTTTTGTTGGCTATGAAATTTGAAAACACATCGCATTTTTGACACTGGGGGCTTTTTTGATGTTATATTATATTTTTTGATATATATGCATATGAATGTTATATGTATCTTTTCTATTTCGAAAACTCGAAATAGTTATCGTCTCGAGGTCTTATTGGTTGAAAGCGAGATTTTAAATAACAGGTCTGATTGATTAAACATTTTTTTCTTCAAATATAGGCGGCGGTGCTATATATATCTAGTAGGTATACGAAAAATACGAGTACAAGGCAAGAGAGATTTGCTTAATATATTTTTTTGCGTTAAATAATAAAACATATTCAATGCTTCAGATCAGATCAATGATTCAGATCTCCGTCAGTGAGATAATTGAAAAGTTTAACATGGATACAGGACACGAATATCACTCAAATATTATTTAACACTAATTAACAATAAAAAAAGACGAATCAATTTTTTTTTCATTTCCAATATATAGAAAATTTTTGTCTCAAAATTAGGTGAGAATTTGTATTCCACCCTTATTTTGGTGTAATCAAATTGTGTATCCTAGTCTTGACTCTGCTATTCGACCAGTTCGCCATGGACCAGATGTTACCGATAGCTGGATCGCGAAAAAGAGTTTTGTCAATATTTTGCGCAGGAAGGACCGCTAGTGTCGTATATAAAAGAAGAATGGCGCCTGTTTATTGACTCAAGAATGCGTAGTTATTGCACAATAGTAACGAACTGGTCTCGGTTCCCGTTGCACATTCGGTACATTTAAAAGAAACGTAAACGAAAATTTGGGACTTCTTTTGAAGAAAATAAACTATATATATATATATATATATATATATATATATATATATATATATATATATATATATATATATATATATATATATATATATATATATATATATATATATATATATATATATATATATATATATAGAATAGCATCTAGAACAAGCCTTACACCTGGTAGCAAAAATGTATTAAGAGATAGGTTAGTTGGCCCCAAAAAAGTTTTACTGGCTTGATGAAGCAGTTTGTTAAGACCCTAGACAAAAATTGACAGTGTTTCAAATATTTGTGCGAGACATTTTTAGTCGAATTAAAAGAAGATATTTTTGTTGGGCAGCATTATGCAAAGACAAGGATTTTCAAAACATAATGACCAATGTCGCGAAAAACGTGTGGGTTTAATTTAAAGAAGTAATTGATAAGTTTCTTGGGAACTCTAAGGACGAAAACTACGAAAGTATTGTTGAAAATATTGTAACACTTTCATTCTCTAGGTTGTAATATGAGTTTGAAAGTACATTTTCTGTTTTCGCACATTTTCCTGAAATCTCGGAACAGGTAGCAAAGAACAGAGAGAGAGAGAGGTTTCACCAGGCAGATGGAGCATTGCGATGATGGCGGACTACTGCTGGATCTTAAAACGGGATATGCTCTGAATATCCGTACAACGCAGCTTTCATGCAAAAATACGAATATTTTAGTTTTTTTTTTTACTTTTTTTAACTAAGATTCCACTTTTTTACTCAATAAACAAATAAATTATTTTAGAAATATCGTTTCCTTTTCCTTTAATATTTTCTAAAAAACCTTACATGATATAAATAAATGTCTTCAAATTAGAAACATTTGTCAAAAGATTTAACTTTGTAGACCTGTGTAATTATTGAAAATCTCATGCTGTGATAAAGACTGCTTACCTCGGAGTATCAGAAATGCTACTGATAATCCCCGACATCAAATCCGAGTTAACGTAGTTGTTATACAGAGCGTCCAGCAATATCTTCGATATCAAATAAATATCCACCGGAACGAAATCATTAAATTTGACTTTGCTCATATTATAGACCAGTTGAAGCTTTTGCTCCGCCCACATGTCCGAATTCAGAATGTTCTCCAGATTGGTGGTGATGTTAGTGATCATTTTAACCAACGCAAAATGCGTCGTGTGGTTAAAAGTGCATGCGGTGACATTGCCATCTATCACGGAAGAAAATTCTCTGTTCCAATACCCAGGCAAACTAAGTTCAGTCGAGTAGTTCCAAGAGGAACAGCTGGCACTACCCGGGTGGTTAAATATAAGCGAAAAATTCCCTTTGAAATCATGGTCTAAACTGGGAAGCAATACTTCCACGATTTCTTTTGCTACCATCTCGGTATCTGCCGTCTGGAAAAAGTGATTGTCGTAGTAAACCATGACTACAATATTATAGGTTCCGATGTCTTCTAGGAGTTCGTCACTTAAGACAATGCTCAGAACGAAATGCTCTTCGTCCGAGCAATAATTTTCAGCGTTATCCAAGGACATCGCCATATTCCGGCCGTCGAAATTTTTTACGCAGACACCATGAAAGTTCGCGTTCTCTTTGAGTGACGATATTATAAGACCAAAATTCTCCTGTTCAATGTTGATGGTTCCATTGAAACCCTTTAAAGTGTCCGCGATACTTTTAAGTATTTTATCTGTTGATCGGTTTACGCGCTGTGCTTCTGCAAATGGTTCCACGGGCAAGTACATGAGCTTGTTCAAGATGTGAGCCATCTTCTCTAAGCTAGGACCATCCTCGATGCTTAAAGTTTGAAATATTTTGGCGATCACTTCCACGTCATATGGCTGGATAATAGTAACGTAAGTCGCCATGAGGGTATCGAGTTGTTGCAGTTTGAGGTCGTTGTTATCGGTGCTGAGGATGCCTTCCAATTGGGAAGTAATTGATGTAGTTGCAGTCATAGCAGGGAAGAGCTGAGTGGCATTAATTTCCTTTACTTCCGTGTAAGAAGTGCGCAATTGTTGCGGATGATACCCGGTGATTTGGTTGTAAAGACAAGAAATAGACTTCACGAATTCTTCACGTTTTCGACACGAGGTTGAGTTATAATGGGAGGAGTTTTTAAGCACTCCGGTGAGCAAATCATCGTCGTACTTTATAATCAGCATGTTATCGTCTTTATTGTCACTAGGGAAGTAAAATAACGAGTCCTGATTTAACAAAAGCGTGGGCATCGTGCCTTGAAAAATTATGTACTCAAACTGTCCTATCGGTTCACTGTCGTGGTTAAAAAGAAAGTATTTGTTTCCTAATAAACCATCGAAGCTGTTGTTGCTTCGGAATTCAACCATCGAAGCATTGGGCACTTGCAACACTTTCTCAACGATCGACAAGAACGGAACTAAATCCTGATTTTCTGCCCAAGAGGGGGTTGATGACAATTTATTCATACTTGCGCCTGTTATAACGGCCAAGTTAGTAAGATGCCAAAAGTGGCACGAAGTGATGCCGTTTTCGGAAAGGGTATTGTCCAACTCCCATCCGCTGAAGTTGGAGAAGCCAAATTTCCAGTAAGAACAGTTGTGTTGATTTGTGGATCGATCGACGTTAAAATTGATGGTCAGTGGGCCGTCGAAAGGGTCTGAAAACCCAGGAAGAAGTATTCCAAATATAACACTCGAATTTTTAATGTTTATCGGCTCGTTGAAAAACGCCGAAGTGTAATAAAATGCCATCACTATCTGTAACAAACATTTTAAATATTCAAACAAAATGACAACCAATCGTTTCTCGTTTAGCTCGTTTTTTGTTGGTTTTTAAATTACTAAATTATCCAAAACGAAAATTAAATAGCAATTAAAACCTCTTAACTATTAAAAGAATATTAAGATTGATGTCTCCCACAAAATTTTAAGTGTGCTTTCTTTAATGAAACGCCATGTATGTCTTGCCAAATTTTGATCTTTTAATTATCAAAAATTTTTCAGATAATTATTTTTAGTGATTTTCACACGATGATGATTAGAAGTTCGATATAATTGGAACTTTTTTAATAGCTCACAGTACTGTCTCCGAAATTGCTATCCAAGTACGTGTAATTTAATTTTCGATGAACCTTATTGTTACCAATTGAGTCAATAGAATATATGAATTCGCAAACAAACAATTTCTATCTTAAATAAGTTTTTTCTTGTATCATATATAAACGTTGACTTAATTTATATTGTGAAACATGCTTGAATGCATAATTTTGATAATTTAAATTATTTGAAAAATTATTAACATGCATCATGCAGAGCTTTATAGCAACAATTATATCGCCCAACAAAATGCAAAATTCAATAAAGTCCCTGTTAGAAAACTAAAATTAATATTAAATCATCAAGCCAAAGTCTACAGAATAATATGTAAGTTGCCTCACTCAAGGCCACGCCGGCGCGCACCTACCTCCTTGCCGCACCGATTTTGATGCTGTTGAGAAGCGGAATCCGTGCGGTGGATTTTATTTCTTGTCTATCGGTCGGGGCGATGAATGTATGCAAAAGTGAATAAATTAAAGTGTCTTCATGCCATCGCTTTATTGCGGCGCTGATAGATGTGTTACAAAACGATATAGTGGCTCGTTCAAAATATAAAACCTCGCAAAGCAAAGAAATGCGGAACTCAATTGCTCTATTAGAACACTTACATTATTTATCCTTATAATTTAAATATGAAAGAACTACTGCTGAGTATGTTTCCCCCGCACCTTTACTAAAAACGTCTGAGGCTATATAAAAGGAGGCGGTGTTTTTACGAAGAATGAGGCAGCTTGTTCGGTAAACTTTGGTTCAATGATATCAAAGATTCTAGTAAAAGTGACCCGTTGCCTGTTTATGTAAGTTTAGACAAATACATGGTTTATATTTGTATAATGAATGTTGTGGATATTTTGTGTTGCAATCGCCGAAAAAATGGCCTATCACATTGAACGAAAGATAAACATTCAAAAAAGCAGTGTAAAGTAAAACAATGGGTTACCTTCGAGTCATCTCGATCAGTTAATTGCGCCAGTAGTTCATCAGACATAGTAACGGATGCATATACGGTGTTATTAAAATCACTGGAAGCTTCGGTCAGGTCCTTAACACTACAATCCGAAGAGCCGTCGCAGTCGTGCACCAGAACCCCAAAGAAGTCGACGTCTTTCAGGCTTACCGATTTAATAGCGAAGTTTTCGTATGATATGAACCAGTTCGTTGCTTCATAACTCGTCAAAATATTATCTATATGCTGCAGTACTTTGTCGGTAGCTTTAAATCTAAATTGGGCGCTCGCCAAAACTTCTCGCGGCACTTTTAACAAGTTGCTTACAATTTTAGCGAACATCTCGAGATCTGGCTCGATTTTGCCAAATTTTCCCAAATACTCAGCAACTAGCAAAACGTCTAGCGAAGATAAATGTAAGTAATCTTCGGTAATTATCATCACCTGTTGTAAATATTGAGAAAAATCCTGCTGTTGGTTTGATATGTTCACAAGCGCGTTCGTCATATTACTAGCCGGGTAAAATACACATTCGGGATCAAGTTTGGACCACATTGCGCCGTCCACGAAACCGCCGAAGCAACTCCTTTTGCTGAGAATCCCTTCGGCTTTTACGCAATAAGCATTTTTCGGATGATTGCTTTCTCCTAGTGGAGTAGTTGGCCAAGTCAGGTTCATCTCACCTACGACGACCCAGTGCTCATAACAATAATCGGTGCTGAAGAACTCTCCAAACTGAAAAGCCTTCTGAGATCGAACTATCGACTTTAATTCGTTGTATTCGTCTCGGCTATTTAAAGATTCCGAAGAAGATAAGTGAAAGTTTACCGTGATCCGTCCTTGATCTTCATCTATATCTACAATTTTGAATATCCTCGGATAAAAATAGGTACTTTGAAGGAGTTCATTCTTCAGCAAGGTCTGCAGAAGTACCAAATTGCTCTCGGTCAACGGATTCACTCCCAAGGTGTCTGCGTAGTTCTCCAACTGTAACAGTGCCACGTACTCTCCACTGAAGGATTTATTCTTCAGAAGATATTTTTCTGTAGCCGTAACTTCCAAATCGGGATACAGAAATCCTTCGCACCAATACATTCCTGGCCCGGACTCGGATATATCCAAAGACGGGAAAGTGTAAACGGCGTACTCTTCAAGCTCTTTGTCGATGCTTTTGTTGAAGTCAGCGATTCTATAGCTTATACTAGTGGCATCGGCGTTAGTGAAGCAGAAAATTAGTGGCGTGCCATCAGGGCCGAGGTACCAGCTAGAAAGATTAGTGATCCCCAGTTGAAAGAGTTTTATGTCAGTGTGATAAGTCAGGCTCAGGCTCGCGATTTTATAGGGAACGTCAATTTCGTATACTTCGCACTGATGTTCAGATGATGTCGCGGCCAAATTCCACCCAGCTTCATTTATGACGCCGTACGTATATGAAAAATCAATTTTATCTTCACCGTTCCAGTTGGTATAATTGATGGGCGTGTTTGCCGACCAGGCAAAATGATTGTCTACCTTCTCTAGACCAAAGTTACACGTTTCGCTCGAAATTACAGAAAGTAGGTTCTGGTAAGGTTGAAAAAGTTTGGCCCCGGTACTTCCGGAGGGTGAATTTTTACCGCCTGGAAAGATAACATTTTAATAACGATTGTATTCTACGAATCTAAAATTTAAGTAAGAGGAAATTTGTACTTTTTAGTTTTTTAAACATTGAGTTTAGAAGTTTTAGTTTCTGTCCTTAGTCAAATTATGGAGAACGTGGCGATAGCAAACTTGGCCAAGAGAGTATTCAATATTATATTTAACATGCTCGATTGTATCATCGTTTCCATAACACCATAACACACACTTACTTGTTAAATATGATCCGATATCTTAAATCTATGAGTGTTAAAGTCAAGTCTTCAATCTTACAATATATGTGTATTGTGAACATTAGCGAGAAAGACACTATATTAAGGAAATAACAGAAAAATGTAAGTGTACTGATTGCAGGATCAATAAATACAAAAGGCCCATACGTGATATTTTCGAACCATATAGCTGTCAGATAATATAGTGGCCCTAAGGAGGGTAAAAATTAATGAGCCCCTCATTGACTTGCGTCATTCTCTCCTGAACGTTTAACGGAACCCGGTCATATTTTGAGAAAATAGTGTAAAAATGCAAAAAATACGTCAAAATTGAAAACTTCTGAATGGAGGAACTGTCAACGATTGTTGAATGCTATTAGAAATTATTACTTACAAACGATATATGAAATGACCGCGCAGCCAAAATTTTTCAAGAAGTGTGAATGCTGGTATTCTCGTTATCTGTTGGAGTTCGCTGAATGTACATCACAAGCATTTGGAAATTTTATCAAATATGCGTGTTTTGACTAGGAGACGCCAAGTGCTTTGGAATTTTTAATATTTTAAAATAGGAAGCCGAATTCGGTTATTGACTGTTGGTGATTTTGCGATTTGAAATATTAATAAAACAGTTTTTTTCTACTTCCGTCTGTAAAATACCTGATTACCCACCCATCTAGCGTGCGGGAAGCGTCACTTTACCACGTTAGTTTCGTTTCCCACGAATCCGAGCCATTTCGGACATTTCCGGGATTATACCGCACGGATTTGGGAGCGATCGGATGTTTTCGGAGATATTTCCCACGCTTTGAATTTTGACGTTTGTCAATTCTAACGGTCATGTCAGTGAATGTATTTGTGTTGTTTTGCGAAAATGTACCCAAAAACTAATGGTCATAGAAAAAGTGCACCACGTTCTGTAAACTCTTTATCTCACTCGTTTAAGCACTCGCTCCGCTCGTGCCAGATAAGTCAAATGCCCTTTACCGCACTTGTTGCATAATATACTATTGAGCTGTTTAGTGTGTGCAATAACCAGTTACCTTGATGTTAAGTTCAGTTTTCATGAGCAAGCCACACCTATGGTGACATCGCACGGGATAAACAGAAATCGTTCAAATTTTCAATCATAGAACATGACTGACAGAACCAAAATATTGAAAATCCCAAAATCTAAGTTTTGTTTTCCAATCAAGCGAAAGAATAATGTACATTGTGTCCCGTTAAAGGTACCATATGTATATATCTCAAAATTGACTGCTCCTAGTTCTAACTAAGTCACTGTAGTGTACTGTAGTAAACTGTATAAGAAGTTTTTGTCTTTGCAATGTGGTAAATGATAACATTTTGATATCAAAAGTGTCATGTATTGCTAATGTTGGGACTGGTCAATTGACCACGGCCAATTGACCTCTTCTTAATTGACTAGTCAAAAAATGTTTTAAATTACATCTTGCAATTATAGAGTGTTATCTACTATTATTTAATAATAATGTGTATTTTATAATAAATTGTTATGCGTTTGTGATTTACTCTCTTCAAGAAATACCCGAATACGATACTTAGAGGGGAATTTCATGGTATTTTTAAAACTATTTCGATCAATTTTTGTCCGCACTTGAGCATAGAACCCAACTTTTTTGGAAGTGCTTGACGTATGGTCTCTTTAAACGTTTATAAAACTCTCCACGAGATAAAAAATGAAAATCGAAAACACTTACTGCGACAAAAACAACGGGATCTTGTAGAATAATCACTTTGCACGCACACGTTTTTCTTGAAAGATTGCGAACAGTAACTGTTTGTCTTCTTATCCAGAGAGTGATAAGCGCAAACGGCTGTATGCTGAGAATCGCATCGTACCGCTTCTGTGTGGGTGACGTTGTGATACAGTAGACAGTTTTTGTCTAGAAGCGATCCAGTAAAGAAATATTTTCGGCACGTCGTAGTGCAAATCGTGTACGATGTTTTATAATTCGAGTTTAGCTCCGACCACCTTATCAATCCTGCAATATAAAATCGAATTCAGTATTATCAATTTTGTTTCCGACTAATTTCTAGACCTATCCCTCCGGACTCGTCGTATCTCCGTAGAGGCATCCAAATAGAATCTTCTGTTAGATTTAGATTAACATAATCTTCGAAATCGACCTGCTCTTCGTACGGACATTTTGGAGGAAACGTAGTATTCTTAATTATCGTAACACACATGTTGTTCACCCAGTCCCATTCGATTGGACACGGGTTCGTTATGATATCCTGAAGTGCAGAGCACGCTGGTGCGGGACCCCAACCTGACAATTTAATGACTTGATGTGGCCGTGAAAAGGAGAAAATATAAAGAAAAATTTACCAACCAAAATCTCATAGTTTCACGCCATAACCACCACAACGTCGACTGTATTTATTTCCTCCTCCCCTTGGACCAATGAATACAAATTAAGTATTTATAATAATCAATAAATAAATAATCAATTCCAGTGTTCTTTATTTCGAATTTTCTATGAAATTTAAAGTAACTAGGAGAGAATGCATTTTTTTTGTTGGGGATTTTTGAAGAAAATATAAAAATCATTTATATGGCATCGAATAAGATAATCTTTGACCATTTAATGGAAATCTTAACAATAAATTGAACAATAAATACTACACCAAAGTGAAAAGCCTCTTATTCGATCGAGTGATAACTATACAACCTGTCCAATTGAAAAAGGTACGTACACTTTCGAAAACGTGACATTCAATTGTTTTTCTATTTCTGTTCTTTTAAAAATAGGAATGATAAAGATCTCTAGTAGGTTTGATAATAAAAAAATATGCAACAGTTCCGACTTCCGTTTGTGCATTTAGTGAAAGAAAGTAACTTTCTCGATAATTGTAATTAAAAATTCAATTAAAGTATCTGGTTCGAAACAATTTTAGCTCCAAAAAATTTAGAAAATTCTTCACGATACATATTGGTTCTTGTAAATGTTTAATTAATCTATTTCCTTTTAGAAATTAATTGAATTGAAAAGATGTTTTCTTTTGAGTCGAAGAAAAATGTCAGGAAAGTACTTAATATAGCAACCAAGTTCTTTAACATTAGTAACTTTCTTATGAAATGTGTATGTTGTTATTCGCCAAGAAAAACCATGTAATATGCGCGATTCGAATTTTTGATTACCTTCTTCAGTGCAAGGCCTACTGACAATCTCCATATCATCGTTAATGCACAATGGAGTGGAGGTGGCGACGGAATTGATGACGACTTGATGCCACAGGACACCATTAACATTTTCCTCGTCGCATATCTACGAAAAAAAATGTGATAGAGATAAAAAATTCCCACATTATGTATTTTTAATTTGAGATCAGAACCTCGGTCCTGTACAGGGTGCCTGGTAAATAACATGTCATACTTTAATTTGTTAAAAAAATAAGTGTGTCAAAAATTAAAATTGCCTGTTTTCATTTTCATGGGCACTAATTTCACTATTGGAGAATAAATTACTTCTTCGCATCGTAATGGAAGATACCATTTTCCTTTACAAATATAGCAAATTGTGACACACCGCAATAGTTTAAATCATTCGTATTTTATGATAAGCATTGACACAACCGCCTTGAATTTCTTGCCAATTACTAGCGATAAAAGCAGCAGAACGGATAATTTATAGAAACATAAATATTATACAAGGTGTTTAAAAAAGATATCGCAAGTCATTTTATGAAAAAACTTTCCATAAAAAAGTTTTTTTAAAATATAATTGAAATACTCTCTCTTATCGTTTTTTTTTATTTGAATTTTATGATAAATGCAAGTGCAACAAAATTTTTTCTTTCTCGTAAACGAAGAAACGAGAGTTCAAGAGGCAGCAAAAAAATTGTTTTAATGCAAAGAAATATCAAAATTAAATTAAGTCAGTGGCGCACAATTTTTTGTCTATAATGAAGTTACCCAGCCCCCTTAATGGCACTAGAGCCAAATCCTTATTAATAGAAACAACGCTGTCAAATTAAAAAAAAAAGTTATTTTAGAAGAAAATGATCATACCAATCCCCAAAATACTTTCTAGAATGTTGTTGAACTTGGACTGTATCTTTTATACTGTTGTGCTAAAATATTGTAGGATTGTATCGAATTGCTTTGACCTACACAATTTTTACCAGACACGATGTATATAAGAAAGTTAAAAAAATTCTCTCCAAAAAGTAGTTCCGGGAATATTAATTTATTTAAAATTAATTTTTGGTCATTTTTGGTATTATTGGTAACTGAATAAAATATTGAAAATTATGCTTTTCTTAGAAAATCACAATTTTTTATGCTTCTGTAATTTGCGGAGTGGGTGTAACATTTTAAACTCATGCTTTTCTATGACAACAATGTTTTGATAACGTGGTCGTTAGATACCGAAAATAGATATTCCATGTATAAGAAAACAGACGAACAATTCAGTACAAAATTGTTGATTGTCATTTCGCAAAAAGTTAAACCGTTCCTTTCGCGTTCTCAGGGTACAGCTTCTTCATCCTTTTGTACTAACTCTTGAGTTCAAAAACACTTAAACTTACTCCTTGCTCAGGCGACGTATTCTGTATAAGAGGATTATATTCAGCGATTGCTGTACTGCTGCTGAGTTCCAGGTTCAATGTAGATTGTGAAGTCGCTACAGTAGCCGAAGTTGAGGATATTGAAGATGGCTGGTAATAAGAAGTGGTACTTTTTCGGCTTCTCCCATCCCTTCTAGTCAATTTAACCGCTAGCGAAGACCGGGTCCGTAAGACATCCGGTTTATCGCATATTGCTTGGAAACATCCTTGACAATCGACGTCGCAACAAACGAATAGAATAAACAGAGCTGTGACGCAAAATATAAATTCTACAGCTCGCATTATTTTGCTTGAAACCCGACCACTAACAGAGTACGATAGATACACCCTCGTTGAATCGATATCAGATAATCCCAACTTATACAAAATATATCGCGAATTATCGGGCGATTATGTTTTTATTTAATTATAACTGGTCTCTGTGTGTAAAGACATTAGAAGAGTCAGTGGTGTAGTCATCGTGTTGTGTATGGAAATTTTATTTCCAACGTTTTCAAATCAGGCTCTATTCGGAAATGATAAGAAGTAATAAATCTTTTTCTGATGCTTCTCACATAGTCCTAAACGTAAATGGGTTGGTTAAAAAAATGAAAATGATTTTTTTTTTAGACGTTTTGGTGTTAACCAAAGTCTTATATACTGTAAAAGTATATACCGCCTAAGATTCATTTTTGGGATTAAACGCGGTAGGCCTATTAGTCATAAACTGAATTTCGATGGCTTAATATGAAAAATCGACGATATCTCCATAAATGTAATCTTTATCACAAAATTATAAGATTGAAGTCTCCACGCTATCTTTTCAAAAAAATCAGCTTTCGCGCTGACGTTCACAATTTAAATTTAGGATTTAAACGCCTGCTCACCCCTCCACGTCACACCTCTGGAATTTTTAAAAGATCCTTTATATATAACATTCCCAAAACATATACTGCATTGGATCAGTCTCTACTGTATACTATTTCCAAAGTTTAAGTGCCTCTATTTGCACAGATCGTACTAGGCATTTATTTATTTATTTTTTATATGTGTATTTTTCCTGCCTAGCGCTGCTACCCTCATCTTAGGATAGGTTTAAAAACGGACTCACAAAATATCTTATTTTGTTCATCCGAACCGTGTCCTTTTCATTGTATATCAATACGTGAATAAAAATTATTATTAGTTATGGCTACGTGTTGATGCGGCATTTACATTCCTTAATGTTAAAATATCAAAAATTTTGAATATTTTAAAAATATCTCTATATTTTTATCATTGTTAATAGGAATTTTGGGATTTCTTCTTCTCTTTATTTTAGGTCACCTTTTTCGTGGACGTGAGTTATCTCTGACTAGTGTTCTTTCGTCTATCCTGATAATATGGGAGTTGCATTTCTTTTTTCTTTTTAGCACAAAGTTATTAATTTGGAGCATATTTCTTATGCTATCTCTTCCTTCTCTGAAGCGAAATCGCCATAACAGACTAAAATAGCTACAAGCTACACCATCGATACAATCTAAAATGGTTTTCGATAAATGGTATGGGATCATACTGCCTTCCATGAAAATTATTACGGTTTGGTTCTTATCCCTGTTTGACTAAATTATCCATCTTTGGTGAATTACAACATGATTATCTAAAAGGTAAATCTTTCTCTCGCGAAAAAATATGGAAACTAAACCATTCAATCCAACTATAACAATAATATCGAAGACTCAAATTACATCATAATAAATATTTTTGTGAAAGAAAGAAGTACACAAATAAAGGTAAATACTTGGGTTTAACAGAACCCTGGAAGGGATTAGTTTTATACGTGAATCAAACCTTCTGCTTTAATACACTCCAATGCTTGTTTCACTTTGCTTACCATTTCAACGATAGGCAGCTATAACAGATTTCATGTTGATGATAAAATGTATTATGGTATTTTAGGATTTACGAATAGAAATATGATTTATTATTTAACATAATAATGGTTGCACAGAATTCTGATAAACTGCATCATGTCAGCGATGAATTCGAATCAGAGGAGAACAAAAACTATTATTATTATTGACCGTCAGTTGCTGTGCATTATTCCCCCAGGCAAGAGCCAAAAACGTTTCTCTCATGAATTGAATGCCACGGAACCAAATAAATCAATTCTTACACATAAAAAGCCTAAATAATATTTATTACATTGCCTATCTTAATAGTAACATGATTTACTCATAAAGCTATATGTAAAAGCGGTGCCCATACTGATAATACAGGGACTTTTAAAGTAGCGATGAAAAAAATGTTGAAAACAACAACAGACAGACAGTACTTCCTCAAAATATGGTCAGACCTCGTTAAAACGAGTTATGTGTACTCTTTTATATCTATGGCTCCCAAACCCGTGCCTGAAGTACTGGATACGCCCGAAGTGGTCGGCGAGCGTGGTTATTTAAGTTAACGTCTTAAAGTAACACTTTATATTTTTTAGTAGGGCGTCGAAAAACTTATTATTATATCAGTTTGATGAGTATGGCATAATCCAAAATTTTCTAAGCTAACTTATTGTTAGTTGTACTATTGGGTTTAAATTATAAAGAGTTTTTTTACTCCCTACTTTAAAATACCTACAAATTAACGAACATGCCCAAAGTGTAACTTTAATATGTCAGCTTCATTGGCATTTTTTGACAATTTATAGCTCAATTTCCTATTAACTAGGTACTAGGTACTGAAAAATATCGATAGAAATCTAACTGCATTCGAGCTTTAGATTTGGTCAGGTCATTAATTAACCAGTTCGGGTAAAACATGACAACACAGTAAAAACAACTCCAGTAAACAAAACGCTCAAAAATTTCTCTCTAACTTACGGTTTTTTTTATTTCCAAAACAGTAAAATTGATCGAGGTGACCGCCAAACAGGCCCACATCACCGCGACGCTAATTAAATTTTTAATTAGCGTCATTTCGGTAATAGATGCTTTCTTTATGAATTTGGTAATGCGGTTACTAAAAATAATAATTAATTAATATTTTTCACGAGAGCTTTTGGAGCACGGTGCGTAAATATCTTTCCGATTATCTCATATTTGCACAACAGTTGTATCAGCGATATAAACGGTGTTTGGTAATTACCTCGCCTTGTTACATTGCTATCAGGGAAAGAGTCAAACAATACCAAAATGAGTTTTCGATCTATTTAGTTCACGATTCATATACACACCAAAAAATTAGTGTTTTAAATTAAATTAAATAAATTACAAAGTTCAGCTACGTTCAATTTATATAATTATCTTCTCTCATTTGTCTAAGCATCTGTCTTCGGCTTCAGAACCACTGCAACTAATACAGCACCTTTACTCGTGACAATTCATAGGTTGTATTTCTAAATCATATGTTTTGTACTGTAGATTGCCTCTGTCACCTACTACAACCCCTTGATATTGTGCTTATTGTAATAAAGGTATCAGTAGCCGGTATTTGTATTCCGCCACAACAAACACGCATGCAAATGACCTGCATTAACAGGGCATACAAAGAACTTGTATCACTGTGCTGTGACAAGCAAGGTTGTCATAAGGGCGTTACCAAAATATAGCGAAAGTATGCAAAATTGTATTCTGTAGGTAAACTTATAGATTGGCGATCAACTCTGAGCCTGACATAAACATACAGGATTCTTCACCTTCCTAAATTAAACTAGGAATTGTCCGATTCTGGTATGCGAACTAATTATATGACAAAGCCCATCCTGTGCACACTACTATCCCCTTTCAACCCAAAAAAATCTGCGGTTCGCGATAACAAAACCTCGTATGTATGTATGCGTTGCTCACGCAATATCACGGGCTGACTATCACGAATTGGTAGAACCTTTCACGCTCTTGTAAAGAATCGCACTTTGAAACAAAATTTGCGTACAATTGAAGAGCTTAATAAAAAGCAGGCCAAGAGGTCATGAAAATGTAAAATAAGTATAACGATGCATTATGTTAATATCAAATAATTTAAAAACATATTTGAATGTAAAAATAACCAGAACTGTCTGGCTAACACAATTGAGTTTATCACATCTTATTAGAAACAGTGATCAAACTTATAGTTTTGAGGACAATAAATTTGTTTCAAGTAATTGTTTGTTTTAACCTAGACAAACTTTAACGACATATATGTATTATATGCGACTACTAAATATCACTAACATTTCTAGTTCTCAACAATATCCAATTTTTTGAGACAAAATAAATATTAACAACTGAGTCTATTTTTCAAATCGGTAAACAACTTAACGACCAAATTAATTAGTAGAATATTTAGTCGACTCGCATAGTTTTCATTAATTTTCTTCGCAATTTCTATAGTGCGTTGCGCTAAATTCGACCCAATATTTGACCTAATCTAATCATGTCATAATATAACGCCAAGCAAAGTGGATGTATGCGCATAATTCAACAATAATATATTAATTTCAGTAACCAAGATTTTAATCGATTTTGCTAATACCTAAACATCCACACATAGCATGTGTTTAATTGTATGCCATTCATTTACATTTTCAATTGTCTAATTTTTCTTTTCAATAATATTTCCAAACAGAGTTAGTCATTTCCAGTGCCGTAAATTCATAGGTTCTACTTGCATTTTCAACGCCCTGTATTAACAGTGCAGGCCGTGTTTTGACGTCACTCATTTGGATAAGATATTTTTCTTTTTCGAAGCAGAAATGTGGCTCAGAGTAAGTATATTTCTTAAATTTTAAACACAAACGCAACATTAACAATTACTTAACTTAAGGTATTGTGGGGCAACTAAGTCGACTTTTTCGAGGTGATGATATTTAAACGATTTTCTTTTTGTATCCGTAATTGAAAAATTGAAATTTTACTTTTGTTCTTGCTTAATTAGTAAGAAATCGAGATTTAAAGATTAATGATAATTCTGGTTTTGATAAATGATAATTTTCAAGTATAGCTATGACAAGCAATTCAACAGAAGTTTGAGTAAAATCAAAATCATTTTATATTGTTTTTCTTGATTAACTCTATCGATCATTGTGTGATCAAAAATGTTCTAAGTTATTCCGCAATTGTGATAGTAGATTGTAGCAGGTAGTAGTGATAGTAGTTACAAGAAGTGATTGCGTTACTGCAAATCAATTTTCCAGAAAATCTTCACAAAGAATGAACGCCACGGTAATATAACAGTAGAGCGTCCCAAGGCCATGTTTTACCATCTAACCGCAACTTTATGGCCCGCATTGGTAATTTTCCTCCTCCCTGTGTACCTCTTCAGACAATTCGTTAGGATTTTACTCGCCCTTATCTACAGAAAGCGGTATGGGGGCCTTATAAGCGGTGCGGATATGGTGTGGGCTCTGGAGACGGACGAATGGAGGAGCGTAGTAACGGTGTTATATATGTTGAAGCATACTGATGACAGAATGGATTTATTGGAAAAAATCAAATCAAGAGCGAAAGAAAAAGTAAACAAGATAGTCAGTTAATTTTTGGATAGTTGTAGAATCATATTTTGTCCCGTTTTAGGTATTTGACGTTGACGATTATCCTAAGCTAACCAGTACTTGTCACCAAATTATGGGCCAATTTTATTTGTTATCAAACACCTATGCACTCGACGAGTGCGTAAAGGAACTTATCACTGAAGACAACGAGCCATTTAGCGAATGCACCCTCAAGGACTACATAAGCAAAATTTGCAATGAGCCCCTGCCGATGAACGGTACTGCCATGTGGGAAGTTCTCGTCAGTAATAGACCATTGGACACTAATAAAGAAGTAATATGATGTTGCTGCTAATGCTATCGCCGAATACCGGTCAGTAAACTTTTTAGGGAAACTATTTATATCCGGTAATATTTAGATTTAATCACGCTGTCGGTGACGGAATGGCTTTTGTTGAGTTTTTAATAAAGGCGTTCCATGATAACAGCGACAACCATGCTTGGGATGGGCCTTCAAGTCAGCGCTGCAGCGAGAAAAACCACGTAGCCAAGACAATACTTACTCGACTGGTGAGTATTTAAAGCTAAAGTTAAAAGTTGAAGCGTCATTTGGTTAAAATTTGCCGAAAAGTATACAGTGCCTGACTCATCACGCTGCATATAACAAATCCTCCTCAAAGATGCAGAGATTACAAAAATCCCTGTCTAAATATTTTATTTTTGGTTTTGCAGATATGCAGGCACCTAAAAAATCGTTTTATTTAAGTGTTAAATTTTTTAGTATGTGGTGTTGCCAACACACATATGATTCACGGAGCACAGAAAAAACACCTATCGACCGACTAGCCAATATTAGAAAATAAAATAAAGAAATAACTATTAACTATAGCGAATCTACACCAATATAGCTTTTTGAAATATACCGTGGAAGATAAACCAGAAAAACAAAATATTGAAAATGAAATGAAATTGAAATGAAAATGAAATTATTTGTCGCTAGAACAAGTGACACAGAACTGCGGGAAAACAGCCCATCATGTTATCAAAGACGATGAAAAATGTGACATCTTGTTAACATGGTTGATCCATCAGATGAGAAAAAATATGACCTTTAATAATATATAGTAATAATTTGTACAATATTGTCTATATTATTTTATATTGCACGGATGATATTTTGACACCTACCTACAAGCTTTATTCTGAGTTATATCCAGAAGATGGTAAATACAAAAGTTATAGGGTTTATCTTTTTACTGTATTTATTCATTTGCCATTTGTTGATTTGGTTGCCAGTTTTCTTTTAGTTTCTTCTTTCACTCTCATTTAATGAGAAATATATTTCAAGTATCGATAATCTCATTAAGAGTAATAAAAATAAAATAAAAATCATTTGAAACACTTTATTGAAACGATAAAAAATAAGGGAGTTTAAGAAGCAAGAAACTATGTCAAATAAGTCTCCGTATACTATTATTTCTTATGATAAATTGAAAAGTTTCTTAAAGTCCAATACTTTGTATGTACAACTGTCATTTGCTTTAATAATGGCATTAAGTCTTTTTGGAAGACCTATAACAAGCTTTTTTGGAATTTCCAGCGGTATGTTTTCCCACTCTTCTCTTATCCTATTTTTGTGGTCTTCTTAACTTGATGTTTTTTCACTAGTCGCTTTAATTCTCCCCACAGGTGTTCTATGGGGTTAATATATGGAGATTGTGGTGGTAAATGAAGTTGTTGGCGGACATTATCGTTATCCTGTTGAAATAAATAACACCCTTCAAGGTTAAGTTTTTCAACACTTTAGTTTAAATTATTCTTTAGGATGTTCAAATAGCCATGTCGCGCCATGATTCGATTTTCGATTTTCAGAGCTGTATTTTTCTTCCTCCAAACTTTATCCCGTCTATCTGACCCAAAAAAATTATTTTTTGTTTCATCACTAAAGATAACGTTTTCCCAAAACTCCCTGGTTTTGTTAATGTGTTCTCGGCCAAATTCCAAACGTTTTTTTGGATTTTTTGGATTAATGGTTTCCTGCTGGTAATGTGCCCCTTATAAAATGCTTGATGCAAGCAGTTTCTAATCGTTTGAGGACTACCATTTTTTAACAACTCTTCCCTGATTTCCTCTGCAAGTTTTGGAACGTTTGTTTTAGAATTAATGCTAATTTTTGTCACGACAGAAGACTTCTCGTGCAGTTAACTTCCTGGGACGACCAGAGCTTTGTATTGATTTATTACATACTGTACAGTTGAATGTGATTTTTTAATTATTTTACCAATATCTCTAAAGGATTTTTTCTCTTTCCATAAATCTACTATGATTTTTCGAAGCGCAATTGGAATTTCACAATTTTTAGCGCTCATTTTGCTTTTACTTCAAAACCACTGACTTAAAAGTGGCATCGTTTGTTTTAACGAAATTTGATACAAGCTGATTTGATAAAATATTGATAATTAACAGTTCTACTTATACTTCTAAATAGTGATTTATTAAAGTGTATGGAGACTTATTTGACATAGTTTCTTGCTTCTAAAACTGCCTTATTATTTATCATTCAAATAAAGTGTCTGAGATCATTATTATTTTATTTTTATTACTCTTATTGACATGGCCGATATTTACTTGAAACATATTTCTCATTAAATGTAAGTGAAAAAAGAAACCAAAAGAAAACTGAAAAAATGCTATGTTTACAGAGACTTTTTTGAGCGTGTGTAAACCACCATGGTGGCTGTAGGTGTGTGTGCCAAAATATATACATATGTATCTCTGATTGTATATAGTATGACAGACCCTCTGCCTAATATCAGTGGCAGTACTGAATAACCCGCTTTAGCGTGCGTTCCGAAAAAGCTTCTTACGAATATGTCACTAATTTTTTAGATATGTCATTAGATTCAAAACAAATTATAAAAAATATATCAATGTTTACTAAGTAGAGGATTCATTAAACAAAAGGCTTTAAAAGAAACCTACCGACTTACAAAAGGTCAATGTTCTTAATAAAGGATATTGTTAAATGCCAATTATAGAATGATAGGAAAAAACTTGGTGATTTTTAATATGCCTATGTTGACAATAGTAAACAAAATATGATAAGAAAGAAAATACATTCACTATATCAAAATCGGGTTTTTTACTACTTTGGATAAACTGAAAAGGAAGCTTGAAGAAGATGATATTTTAAAATTTGACATTTACATGCAAAATAATATAGAGTCGATCTTAAAGGCGACTCTGAGGGTGACAGTCAATGAGATTTTGAATAAAGGCATTAATTTATTTATTATTTTCATCGTATTTTCAGTTAATACTAATGTGACTTTATTATACATAAATAACATCTTGACATTTTTAAATCACCTTAAATGTCCTCCCTGATGGTCTGTCTTACAATCCAATCCAATTGTTTTAATGCCGTCTGTAAGTTATTTCGCGTAACTGCTTTAAAAAGCCAAACGATATACTTGGAAGCAAAGTATAAACGTATTAGTTTTGTTTCGATAATTTGTTTTCAATTTCAGTCAGGGGTTCTACACACGCTCTACATCCTATATTCGTTTATCGGAACAGTTTTGTTTTGGCGCTATCTTAGGACCTGCGATCACAATAGTTTACACGGCGCCAAACTCTCTGGTAACAAAATTGCGGTGTGGTCCAGCGAAGATAAGCCCGAATTAGTATCCGCCATCAGACGGATCAGAGCTAGAGTACAACGGGTGACATTTCAAGATGTTATGCATTCTGCCATATCTGCCAGTTTTGTGGAATACTTCGAAAAGGTATAACATCCATATCTTGCATAGTAGTGAATACCAGAACTCAGTATAAATATTTTAGAACAAAGAACATATTCCTGACTCTATTACCGTAGCAATTCCATACTTGCTGACACGGAGAAAGATCAGACAAGGACCAGCAAATCTGACCAACGATTTTGCAATTGGTGCATTTACGTTACCTACCAACGAAAAATCTGGGTTGGACACTTTACTAAGTACGAGAGACCATTCGGTATTTGCGAAAGGTGTTCCCGATCTTGAGGTAACTTAAAATGTTACTCATCCTAGTTAGACCGATCTCAGCGATTTTAGTTGTAATCGTAGGGTAGTAATAATGTTGATACGTAAGGCTAAATATCTCAGATCGCAAATAAAAAAAGAAATAATGCAAAAATAATATTACCATTAATTACAAATATTAACACCTTCATAAAATTTTCTATCATTTTCTTTTCTCAATATGCTGAATCTCAAATTTCTCTGAAGACATACTTGTATATTTTCAAAAATATAACTTTAAATAACAGCGCAAGTTAATTTATTGTTTTCACCAAGTCTTTCTAAACTTTGCGGTTGGGAAGTGTAAACGACACTGGTTGAAACCATATAGCTATTAGAGATATAAGGACCCTAGCTATGATGATAATACAGCAACTTATGAAACAACTATTACAAAAATAATTGTGAGGGTCCATTCAACATGCGTATGGGAGAGAACATTTAATTTTTTACCAATGACCTTGCAGAGCTATGCAATTAGGGATTTTTCTCAAAACATTATCAGTCGATTTCAAAACACCAAACGCAAGAAGAAGGGATCTTGACCTCACATTTTTCAATTTTAGGGGGATAGTTTTAAGAGGCAGTTATTAGTTTTTTTTTTTGTAATATTTCGAAATATTCAAAACAATAAATGTTTCTTTTTTCTTTACTTTTCAAGTTATTGAGATTTTATTAATGAACCGCCATTAGCAATATTAATTTGCAGGTGTTCATTGTCGGGTCCCGATTATTAGGCTCGATACTACCCGTCAACTGGTTACGATATTGGTTTAGCTGTCCGGGAATTACCGGAGTAATATCAAACGTCCCATTTACCAACGAAACCAGCGTCATCGTAGGACACACTTTACATAGTACGGTGTTTTTTATACCGCACAGATCAAGGACTGGTGAGGCGACATTTTTGTCTTCACTTTCTTAAATCGAGACTCGCTCCGGCTGTTTTCTTTTCTCTAGAATATCCTTTCAACTTTCCAACGTTCGGTACATTTCTTTCTAGGTTTTAGTTTTGGCGTGCTGACTACTGCCGGAAAAATCAGCATCACGCTAGCTGTCGACAAATCGTTGATATCATCAAAAGCCGAAGCCCAACGACTAATTGATGCAATTTTCCGAAATGTAAAACGATTAGAGATGGAAATAGTTAATATGGACCGATTGGATTGATACCCGTTTAATTACAATTTAATTTTCATTTGCTCAGCCAAAACCGTAGATATTTTTTTTTCTTGGGGTTGGTTGGTTTGGGGGGTTTGTATCGTTTCACACAGAGCAATGTGTCTCTAGGCTATTGCCTTTGGTTACTTGGGATTACATGATACCATCGCCAATAACAGTTTTGGTTAGTTTCAATAGGTGCCGATTGGGAGACCGAAATAAATAAAACAGTTGCTACAATATTAAAGCAAAATATAATTTCGTTTATTGTGGTTTTTATTTAATTCAAAAAAATAAGTACTGTATTTGGAAGTATAAAAACTATGCTCAGGTTAGCATCTGCCTCCATGTACATCGGGTCTTTCCACGTGAACTTGGTCGATCAAGAATTAATAAAAAGTTGAAAATTTGTATTCTGCTAAATTCAAAAAAAACGGAAATAGAAGTCCACTTGATCATTTCAAGTGTAAAAATAGTTATGTCCACTTTGTCAGTTTATTGCATTTGGTGTAAAGCAGCAAATGCAATTATGCTCCCCACAAATTTGAAACGACTAAAACATAGTCCACCTGACTATTTTTCTCCAAATAACTACAAATCATATAGAATGGCTGATCAGTCAAAATTCATATTAAGTGATGCTAGGACTATCAAACCAATGACATTTCAGTTTATACACCGCAATTTTCAATTTTATAAATTCAACAATTTTTTTATAGATTCTAGCTCACATTCCTTGAAAACTTTAAAAAATAATCAGTTTTGTCTCCCTTTTCTAATAAAGCGAGTCAAACCATTATTTTCTGTTTTTTCGATAAGTATGATAATTAAACAACAAAATCAATCTTTTAAGGAATTTCAAAAATACTTTTTATATCGCTTTTATGCCATTAGAAAAACAACATTCTTCCGCTTTTTACAAAACTTCTGGATTCCTCTTGGGTCGGTTTTTGCTTAGTCCAAATTGCTAACGTTTCGCCAATTATCCTGTTGGCGTCTCCAGAGCTTGACTGAAAACTGCAAGCAAAGCAAAAACCGACGCAGGAGGAATCCAGAAGTTTTGTAAAAAGCATTACAGTAGCCTGTGGAAGTTTCTTTGTAAAATTAAAAAAACCAACATTCTCCCGTTTTTAATGTGCTTGCTTTTTTCATTTGTAGCATTTTGTATTTTGAGTTGCTTGCTTAAATAAATTGAAAATAATCATTGGCCTCTTTGCAATATTTTTCTTCATGGTTTTTGCTAATCGTATTGCAATGCTGATAAATGTTTTTAATGGGCCTATAAATTATGGCGGTACTGTCACTTCCCTACAAAATTTACTACTCAAACATTCAGTAGATGACGACACGCAGCTATGGAGAATGAAGTCGAATGGTAGGATTTTTTTTCTCAAAACGCGTCTCTTGTATGCGATCGTTCTCGAAAAGAGAGTATATTTGGGTACTATTTTAACAGTACCGGTGGAGGGGCTGCCCATTCCTGAATAGAAAGTAAGATACTTGTTCTCGGCACTTCGGCGCGAATTGAGATTTGAACCACAGTTTAATATCAATATTCGGCGTTTAAACGTCCTTCGGTGCATGAAACGTTCGTGTGTGCACCGCGAAGTGAAATTATGCCCATTTGGTCATCTATTTGTGTGTAAAGAAACTGTTTTTGTGTCGTTTCGAGGACATATGCGGCTCAATATTCGAATGGGAATGTAGTTTGGTGTCAGATTTCATTCCGCTTTAAAGGCTAAAATGACTGGCAGCATTAGGTAATATAAAGTTTCGTTATACAAGGAAAAATAAATACTAATTTCTATAAGAATTGTATATTTAACAATTTCAACTGGTGAGCAAATACCGACCGAAATATGCATGAAACTTTTTATTTACGTTTATTATATTTATTTTTTAATTTTATATTGGTCTATTTCTGAATTATTTTATTCGATTTTCATGGCAGTGCTGATATAGGGTATAAGATCCGGATATCAAAAAAATTCCCGACTACTAAAGTTAATAAAATATTACAATATGCGGTATCTACATTTCAACATATGTACAAAGATATTTAAAGCACAAAAACTAATGCTATGCTAAAAAAATGATATTAATAATTCCACCGCCGACAAGACCGCAAAGACTGTTTAAATAAATATTGGTAGAGGCCAATCACCGTACCTTGTGGCATACCGTATTCCAGTGATTTCCGATCTTGACCTATTGAAGCGGTCAGCAAGGTAACTGTCAAAGACGTCCAACACAATCCTCCTCACTTCGCCGGCTGTTTTAATTTTTTGTGCGCTTTTGTAAAGTTACTAGCATATTCGAGGCACGATTTTATTCAAATTTAGTTTCTAAACCAGATCTTGATGCGTTTAAAATCAAAATGGATTGGAATTTTTGGTTTGCATTGTTTGTTGTTTTTCAAGCTCTTACTGAGGCCCTGTAATAAAAAAGTATACATTTTCAATGTTCTCCCAACAGCATTGGTTTATATTTGGCAATCGATTTCGAAAAGTGTTGCTACGTTATGTTGATACTAAAGCGTGTTAATTTAATCATTCCATTGGCGTTTCTATCAAATTGTGCAAAAGTACTAGGACACTACTCTAGTGAATTAATTATACAGTGCGAGGTCCTAAATTTTGCAGATTTTGTAGCATTGTTTGCAAATTTGCACGGCTACCTAAAGCAAATGCTTCGAGTTTTTGTTTGTCTTTCGAAATAGTTGATAATTCAATTTAAAAAAATTATTATTTTTATGACTACGCCCAAAATTGCTAATTTCGAGTTAAAAGTTAAAAATATTTAAATATTTTCAGAGAATTTTCAAGGTCAAATAAAAAAAAATTACTGAACTTTGTATATTCTAAATCGCTACCTTGAACAGTTTAAAATTGTTCCCACTTTCCTTTGTTACCTGTTATATATTTTATAAACAAGGGCTAAAGATTTCTATTGATTTGATTGTCAATTGTATTAAATAGTGAAATAGAAAAAAGTGATTCAACTCTTAAATGTTTTTAAAAATAATTTATCTTACCTTATGTCAGAAAGGAGTTTAAGGAAGAATCAATCAAGCAATAAACCACAACAACCTCAAAGCAATTAGATGCGAAAATCGTTAACTGAAGTCATAAAAAGCAGGGAGACCTTCAGTATCAATTTATTTGCTGCAAATTATGTCTACTTGACTATCTAAGATGCGGCATCCTTTCAAAATCACTTTAGACACACGTAAGAATGTTACGCGATCTGACTTGACGTATTTAGGTAAAGAGGATGTTCCTCAAGGTCGATGGTCAAAGGATGTATACAAATATGTTCACAAAAAAATTCTATTCTCAAGAAAAAGGATTTAGAAATTAATTTCTTGTATTATCCAAATTGAGTAGGTACCTTACCTAAAAGTTATTTGCCAAAAAAAAACATAACCATTTTGTCTGATGCGCTCGTAATTGTATATTTTATTCCGTATAACAATTGACGGTAGAAACCTTTCAGTTTAAGGTAATTTGGTTACAGCAGCAAAAAATCCCACATTTAAGACTAGCTTGAGGTAATATTTTTCATGTACCGATTTATCAAGGTCATTTTGTGCCATAACGATATTATGGTGCTCATAGAATCTAATTCTAGAAATTATTTTTAAGATTACCTTGGCGATATGGCTGTTTTTTTCAAAATTTTGCATCGAATATATATAATATATAATGATATTGGATGTAATACTGCTAATGTTGTTATTATCATTAAGTTATATCAGGACCGATTGCTTAATACTTAAATAAACGAAAAATTCGAATTAGTCGGTCGCTGGTTTTCAGTACCCACAACAAAAGGCCATGCATAAATTACGGCCATCACGTTCCATTGAACCCAAAGTCTCGTGTGGGGATTAAACAATCTCGCAAAAGTGGAAATAAAAAACAACACTGATTACTTGTTATTGTCTAGATAACAATTACGCATAGAATAAAATGAGTTCAAAAACTTTTCCGGATATAATTATTATGCATTGTATCGTTATGCGTATATGCAAATATTGGTAAACAATCCGGACATTTTCCTTAGAGCGTATTAAAATATTTTCCAATGTTAATTAATTCTGTATTTTTTGCACAGTGAAAACCAAGGATGCCGCAAAAAGCCTATATCCCGTGTGAGGCGCGTCCTTCCTCAGATCATAGCAGTAACCGTCAAGAACGTACTACTATTCGGTTTCGGAATGACCTTAGGTTTCCCAACCATCCTCATTCCGAACCTGTCCGGCGATAACCCGAATGAAAAAATAGCTCTGGACCAAGAGGCTTTATCTTGGATAGGTAAAATCAATTATTTGTTTTACTTTTAAGTTATTGACTCGCCTTAAATTCTTCCGCAGTGATTTTGATGTTTGTTTATTTGTATATTTTTAAAGCCCTTTAATATGCATACCTATGACATGAATATGGCGTAGTAAAGTAAACTATAACTTCTTTTGTGAAAAATGTACTTTGGTGTAAAAATTGGCGACCAAGGCTCCTCATACTGTTTGTTGCGTTTGCGGCGAAGCATTAAGAAACTGGCAAAAAAGTAGGAATAAATGTTTAAGCTTTGTTGTTCCGATGATATGCGGAGAGCCTAGGAATCACAGTAATGATTGTTATTTTTGTTCGTATAATTTTCAAGGATTCAACAGAAAAAATAAGAAACAAACTGTGTATTACAATACTGACTCTGCTATTCGACAAGTTCCTCATGGACCAGATGTACCGATACCTACCGCCCCAAAAGAACTAGAAAAGGTCAAGGTATCCAATTCCGACTCAGATGACTCAGATTTCAGAGAGAGCGAATTAAAAGATTTAATAGAGATTTGCACCTTCCAAAGGATGCATACGAATTGTTAGCGCCCAGGCTTCGTGACAAGTATTTAATCTCACCTGGAGTCACATCAACTTTTTCCGGGATCGCGAAAAATAGTTATGTCAATATTTTACCCAAGAACGGCAGCTAGTGTATTGCAACAATAGTTTCAAAATTAGCAATTGTACCGCACATAAAAGAAGAATGGCGCCTGTTTATTGACTCAAGTGAGCGTAGTTTAAAAGTCGTTTTATTGCACAATGGTAACGAACTGGCCTTGGTTCCCGTTGCACATTTAAAAGAAACATATGAAAATTTAGAACTTCTATTGAAGAAAATAAACTACCAGGAACATCAGTAGTGGAGACCAAGGGGGTTATACAAAATTTCCATGCTTTATTTGTCAGTGGGATAGTCGGGGAAGAGATAGACATTGGACTCAAATAGAATGGCCCTCTAGAACAAGCCTTACAGTTGGTAGCAAAAATGCAAAAAGATAGCTTAGTTGACGCCAAACAAGTTTTAATGTACCCTATTTATATCAAACTTGGCCCAATGAAGCAGTTTGTTAAAGCCCTACACAAAAATGGACAGTGTTTCAAATATTTGTGCCAGAAATTTTTAGTCAAATTAAAAGAAGATATTTTTGTTGGGGTTTCGTTTAAAGAAATAATTGATAAGTTTGGGAACTCCAAGGATGGAAACTACGAATGAATTGTTGAAAAATATGTTACAACACTCTCATCATCTATGTTGTAATATGAGTTTTTAAAGCGCATTTCCTATTTTCACACTTGAACTATTTTCCTGAAAATCTTGAAACCGTTAGCGAAGAACAGAAAAAGACAAATATTTCACTCAAAAAAGTTTGAGTAAAGTTTTTTTATTTTTTATTTTAGAAATATCGTTTTTAATATTTGCACAAAAATCTTACGTGAAACAAATAAATGCATAGATTTTTTAAAATCGACCTACCAAAATTATATAAAATCAATTTTCAAAATAAAAACATCTGTCAAAAAGTTTAATTTTGTAGACCTGTGTTATTAATGGCATGCAGTATAAATCTATTTATTAAACGGATATAATTCGCAAAAGTTCTTGAAACTTAAAAGATTTAAACATATTGAAAATCTTTCAACATTGAAACTCAAATTGTTTCCCAATCCTAGTTCGATAAGATTTATATCTTGCAGGATCAGTGAATCTTCTATGCGTCCCTCTAGGCTGTTTTCTATCAGGCGCTCTTACCCAACCTCTGGGCAGGAGAAGAGCCATGCAGCTGGTAAACTTGCCATTTGTAGCTGCCTGGTTGCTGTTCTTCTTTGCCACCGAGGTGTGGCAGATATTCCTGGCATTAAGCTTGACTGGAATGACTGGAGGTCTTTTAGAAGCTCCCGTGAGTTTACATTCTACCAACAACTTATTAGTGGATACCAGATCAAACGCTAGGGGGAAACTGCGCAAGATCATTCCGATAATATATATGAAAAATGTCGTACAAAGACGTCCACATTCACACCAACCATTAGCCAATAGCACCATTGCCTTCTGGCTTAGTTTAAACTACCTTAACCAATTTTTGGGAGATACTTTATTATTTTCTTTAAAATATAGCCACAATCAAATTAATTATGTTTTAATTGATTTAGTTGAAATTTTGGAAGTAGTGTGGTGCAGAAAATTCGGCATTGACTTGTACGTAAAAATTCTGCTTCTAGAGACGTAAGTAGATGTATAGTGCCGATATAAGCAACAGAAACCGTACATAACCTCAATTTCCTAACCCCCCCGCAGCGGGGGCCCCCCGCGCGTGGCGTCCTAGTGTCCCCCCTGTCTACCAGAGTGCGCTCCGCCCCCCACCCAGCTTGTGTAGCGTCCTGTTTTGCCCCGGTTCCGCCCGTCGCTGCTAGATGTCGCGCGCTTGTGTCGCCAGCTTGTGTAGCGTCCTGTTTTGCCCCGGTTCCGCCCGTCGCTGCTAGATGTCGCGCGCTCCGACCGTCGTAGGCCCCCCCGGTAGAGGGCGGTGACGGTGCGGCGCGGAGACGGTGTGGCGCGGTGACGCGGGGGATCGAGTCGTCGGTAAACAAGTCGAGTGACTTATACAGAGTGTCTCAATAATCACGGTTTAATAAAAGAAAAACTATAGATACAATAGTAAATATTTATTAGCTCATATGTAGACAACGTAATGCTTCGTACAAGCGGTGTTTCTGGTCCATGAGATTTTCTACTTCATCGCGGTCGAGGATAATTTCGTCGCCATGATCCTGTTTCAGTATCAACTCACAGCTCTCTTCTTCGTTCGAATAGGTCACCTCGATACTGCTCCCGATGTAGACTGTTATGTCGTTCCAGAACATGATTTCTCCCACCTCGTCCTCCAGAAAGAACAAAAAATCCCAAAAATCCTGGACTTGAAAATCTATGTGCTTGTTCTTGAAGATGAAACGGACACCTGAATTCTTTATTTCGAAAATCGTGTTTTCATCGATAGTGACCACTTTGTTACACATTGCGACAAACAGACTGACTTCGGTATCAAATTCAAATGTACTTATATATCAACAACCCCCCACTATCGGTGTAATTAAGAGAGATATTTACATTTAGTCAATTTGAATAAGCATTTTGCCAAAAGAAGCAAACAAGCGCACGTAGTTACATATAGCGGGATTAAAATAGTTTTTCGACCTGCCGAGATGTTGTATTCGTTACCGCAAATGTCGTTAACGCCGCCGCTGGTGTTATTGGAATTCTTGATAGCGATCGTTTGCCATTCGCCGTGGTCTTCGTAGCTCCGGTTCGCGAAAACGAAACGTACCTTGTAATTTAAATACGGCTTATCTGCGGTAGTGTTATTCGACAATGTCACGCTAAAAGTTTGTAGCTTGTCGATTCCGTTGACCTGAGCGAGTTGCATACGCGTCCACGTATCGGGCCAAATGCACCGATTATTATGATTTTTGAAACAAACGAACGCTTCAATCACATCCTTAGGTTTATGTATATAGAAAACGTTTTGTACCACAGCCGACAACAAAACAAAGTGAGCACTTAACAAAACCATGTTTCTAGCCCGAATGAATCTATCCTAGATCTCGGTAACTGCTTTTATAACACTCAAACAATAATGACATTTATTCTGGGGAGGTGCCGGGCCGTCGATATGCATTTTGCTGTCCGGTCTGTTATAGTGAACAAAGCAGGGCAAATGAGTTTGCAATTCAAAATTGTTGCGATGTCGTACTGGTAACTTATGCCACATATTTAACAAATCGTGCGGTCTCACATGCTCCAAGAAATGTTGCACAGGAATCAATTCAAGTTGATCGGTATCCAAGCTTCTAAAATCGTCGAAGAAAACTAACTTCTTATTCATTGTTGTGAAAGATCGATAACTTTCTTAACAAATCCCTAATTTGTTTAAAGACACTCTCTGTGGGACAATTAATTGCGACAAGACTCAAGTCTATTTCACCGACTCTCGTTAATTTATTCAAAAATTCGTTGTATTCGTAATACGTTTTCTCTTTGAAAAAATACAAATGTCCGTTGGTGTATCGAAACGCGCCCGACAAATCGTCGGGCAGACCCGGAAACAGTTCCGTAGTAAAACCGTGTTCACTCGCACTCAAAGAACACTCGTCTATTTCTGCATAGTAGCGTTTACCGTAAAATATATACGTTCGACCGCCATACGTATTAAAAATAGCGTTCACTGTTTTACCCGCAGGCACACCCAGTCGCTGGACGCTTTGTCGGTCGCCCACTACCGTGAAACTCGGGAAGTGAAGTAAATAAAACGAATCACCGGTGACTACCAAAAGTTGTCCGTTGGGTCTCTGGTAGATATGCGAAATAGGAGCGTAAATAGGGACATAATCTGATATCATTTTAGGTTCCATGTAGACTTTATCACCTAATCTTATTATCCAAACCCATTTGTCGTAAAATAGATACATATGATGGTTAGACGTAACCAAAAATATGGATGGATTTACGTGACACAAATCTGGTACTTTTGTTTCGTTTTTCCCTATCGGAGGTTTCGTAGTTGTGGTAGTAGTGGTAGTTGATGTTGTTGTGGTCGGAGTTGTTACGCGGGCGGTGGTTGTGGTTTTTTTACCATATAAACGTTGAAGACCTGCAACATCGTCGTATGACAATGTCTTAGAATTTAAGCTATACCAAGGGTACATAATGGCATTGCGATCGTTACTGTGCGCCAAACCCAACGTATGTCCAATTTCGTGGAACAACACAGTAAACAAGCTCGTTTTTCCTCCGGGCGCAGGCACTTCTAAACCGTAGTACCAATCTTCGGATTTATCCAAATGAACTTCCACGCACTCTTGTTGTTGATTTGGAAAAAATGCATGTCCTAATATGTTACCCCTTCCGTCAAAAGCAAAAGGACAGGATTCGTTCCCTTTACATCTTATGCTTTGTCTGTGGGTAGTATATTTGTCAGACATCAAAATCATTATATCCGGCTCTGAGTAATTTAAGAAAAAATTTAAATTTGATTCATCACTCCATATTTTAAAAACCTCGGTTGCCAGCACTTTTAACTCTTGATAGTGACTGGGCGGTACTTGAATATACCAATTTAAATCCGTTTTCTGCCATCGCGAAACAGTCGTGAAGGCATTTTCTATTACACCACATCGGGGTTTATTTATTAGTTCGACGGTTTCGTTATTAAGAGTACCATCCACCGGTAAATTATAGAAATCCTGAAAATCCATTAGGGCACGTTGCAAACTCGACGCATTGATCTGCGTTAAAGATTCGTTGTCGTTAGGTGAAAGGAATCCGAATTTTTGTAAATATTCAATCACACCTTCCTCGGGCAGCGCGGCGACTATCGTCGACACGTCCGAACAGGTAGTAAAGACAGCGTAGCATAGCAACAAGACTCTCATCTCGTTCAAGGTCAGTAAAATACTAAAATGTATTCGGTTCCTAGCTAATCTTTTATAGGTAAAATAACAAAGAGAAGTGATGAACCAAACGCTTTTAGTCGCTATTTTGCGTGAGATGACGCAGAATATTACTCGAGAAATGGAACGAAAAAAGAATTATACTTCAATAGATTACAGTTTCGCAGTTTGTATTCATATCATAGCATTAGCGTGCTTTATTTTTACGTGTAAATGTATTATTAATTTTTTTGGATTGAAATAAAAAGTCTTATTTAAATAAAGAAAGTTTTATTTCATACAGGGATCCTTGAATACAACCAATTATATAAAAGGGCAGAATTTCTCAACGCGCACATGCGCAGTCTTCCTCCGGAGTGAAACATGCAATGGGCGTGATCCGGTTGAAATTTCGGCGGATTCAACCAATTATCATCATCGAATTTCTCCACGTTAATGACTCTGCATGCGACATCCTCCTGATCCATTTTCGACATTAAAAATTCCATTTTTGATCTTCCTCTCACGTATATCAAGTCAGCATTTTCTATCAGTAGTCCGATCAACGTATCAATGTCGGAATATTGAACAAAACCAGAACTGTATTTGAGACCGTGATGATATTGTTCGAGCCAGCGTACCGTTCTTTTTTCTGCACCGGTCAACGTGCAATATTCACGCGGCGGTTTCAAAACGTAATGACTAATTTGACATCCATTGTAGACAGCCATTTCTTTAACGACAAATCCATCTTCTAACTGGAAGCCTTGAATATCTACCGCAACGATGCGCATTTTTAATATGACTGGTTAAGATTAGGTTCCTCCGGCGGTATTTATGTTAGATTTCGAACAATCTCGCTGAGCGGTAGTTGTTCCACGATACAATCGTGAATGATGATGCAATAGGCACGTGTATTCGCGGGAAATCCCTTTTTTGCTTCGATGTCTAACTTTACGTCGACAGTGCTGGATTTTACACTGTCGTTTCTTCGAGAACAGTCAATGACGAAAATCGCGCAGTTTTTGAAAGCCATATAGTCAAGCAACGCAGTTTTTTCCTCACATCCCTTATAACTGGGGTAGAAATCCGTGTAATTGTGATGCGCTTCCACGAAGTCATTCTTTTCAAAATCTAATCGTAAACGTTCGTGAGGGTAATATTCTCCGTTTAGTGTTAATCTTATATCCGTTACGTCGACGTGATCGAAAAGCGTCGCATTTTTCGCTTCGTTGTCTTTGCGATTTGTTTGAAAAGCGACTATTACGTATCGGGGGCTTTCGATAGCCGCGCACGTCTTGACAGACCAAATTTCTTTGGTAGAGCCCGCGGTTAGGGCAGGATATTCATGAAGTTCCCATCGTCTATAGGGTATCAATATGGGTTGATCTAATCTAATCGATTTCAGCAGAGCCAATTTGATTTCGTCGTTTGGAAATATGTGCTTGACCCTAAGATCGACACTATCAATTTT